ATATGCAATAATTAACGAAATAATACGATCTTTTGTTTTTTAACTACCAATACGGTTATCGGTTTTTCTTTTTGTAAGTCTGTTTTTGTTGTGTCGTTTAGACCATTTTATCATACAACTGTTCATCATTTTTAACATAGCCTCGCTCTTTAAACTATTCAGTTCTACCATCTTTCAATCATAAGATTGTCATCGCCCCTAAATTATATAGCGTTTGTTCAGCGGACGAAACAAGACAATATTTGCCGGCGCGACAACCTGATCAGTATGAGGGAGCGAACAGAAACGGTGTAGTGCGGTGGAGTTTTTTTTTGAAAGGGGCCAACAAGACACACGGCACAGAGCCCACTGGGGACGCAAGCGTGCGAGGATTTCAATCAAATTATCGGTCACAAGTTGTGAAACGATACCTGTCAGCTCTTTGTCAGAGAGCTAAGATCTTCCTCTCTGTCGGGGATTTCAGAGATCGTCGCGTGAGCTGTGCCGCCGCGAATATTTTTTCTCCAAACGACATCAGTTTCCTATCTTCGGATTGGTCAATTAAATGCATGTCTGATGCCTTTTTCTCCACAACACAAACCCAAGATGGGCTTTACGTCTTGTGAGAAATGTTCCTGCCTCACTTTGGTTATTAAAAAGGCAAAATGCGAAGAAGTGAATAACGCTTACTAAGATTCGAACTCGGATCACCTGATTAGAAGCCAGGACTACTTCCAACCAGTCCACGAATCAGCTGCCAATCGTCGGTGATTAACACCATTATTCTTTGTTATTAAAGCCCTGGACATCGTGAATATACTGAGAGAGAGCACCCTCCTTTGATATTGTCTGATCTCGTTTAAGAAAAAACAATTCGCGTGCCAGCGAGACTTCTGGCAGATTTTATAATGGATAACTGGCGACTACTCCCTTAACAGCTCATTCATATGTTTTCGTATACTTTCTTCTTTTTTCTTACGTTTTCCCTCGATTATGATGATAATGACAAACTTCAATTCTGGGAATGCAAATTTAACTCAAAGCGTACGAAAAAATAATCGCGGAATACAAAATAAAAGCAAAATGTTCCATTCCATCTATCACCTGAAAATATTGTAGCAAAATGTTCCATTCCATCTATCACCTGAAAATATTGTTAACATTTCACTCACAAACATTCATTACATCGTCAATGCAAAAATATAGTCCTCATTGTGAATACGTCGCGTCTATTTCATCACTCACACAAAACTAATGACTGCTCATAATCTGCTGAAAACTACGATAATGATCAAAGTGTCATTACCACCAGACCATATCCATCGTTCATTGGCCTAATCGAGGCTCTGAACAATTACATTATTGCTACAGTCAGACAATCACTAGGCGATTATTCGCCCATTATAATGTGGCTGGACGTGCGTGCTTTTTTGTGTGAATTTACGGCGGAGTAAAGCACCGCGCCACACGTACACCAATGGCCAAATGGCTTATTAGATCTGAATGAGGGTTATGAGGAATTAACTCCCCCTTCTACAAACATTTCCATTCTAATCTGCTCTAAGCATTTCAAGAAAGAACGGCATCAATTCCCTACAGGCTCAAACACGAGGTTCACGGCTTGCTCCTCTCAATAACGCCTCTGGACACACCGACTGCACTTTTACGGTCAGCGTTCGGTTTGGCGGCAAAACGATTTGGCGATTTGGCATTTTGGCATACACGGTCGATTATTTCCTGAAATAGCACACCCCTCACCCTGTTAATTCCCCTATGACATCTTCTAGTTGCTCTTGGCCTGGTCAGTAGTTTGCAGTCGCCGACTACTATAGGTTTTACGCATATTTCACAGCCCGGAGGGTTTGCAGAGAGATGTTTGTCTCCATATTCATGTGAATGTTAAATTTCGGCCGTCAAATTCAAGGACACTCTGCAACTTGAGTACCTTATTTGAAAGTTTGATTTCAATTTCAATGGAAATCCAAGATCGTGCTGAGGTTTCGGCTACCCTACGTTTGCATTCATTTTGTTCCTCGTAAGGCCTGTGCGCTGTACATGGTGAATACCGCTGATAACTCGGAATCTATAGATTGATTGCAATCACTGGCGATCTTTGAAGTGTGTTTTATTATGTTAATTTATTAACAAAGAGTTCACAATAGGTCTACTCATGCACATATCTCTTTTGAACAAAAGCACACAGGCTTCGAGCAAATGTATTTTTAGCAACACCTCTCTGTTTCGAATCAGTCTTTTGGCCGAATTCAATTTTACCAAATATTCTATCAGTTCAATCATTATAACTATGAATGTTACAGTGTATTGAGGGTATCATAATTATTACCAGGCTTGATAGACTCATTGTTGTTTGATTACACCTTTGCATATTTTAAATACAAATATTTTTGGTAATGGAAATGGTGCTGACCAGTTACTTTTTTGCGACCTCCTTGCCTTGAATATTCCTTGTATTACGAACCACGTCGAGAGCAGGTGTTTCGGTGACAAGAACAGAACACACCAGTGTTGTAACCATTTCATGGGATGGGATTGGCGTTAAATGCCAAATAAAGGGCAAGCATTCACACTCCAAGCCAGCTACAATTGGAAGAGCAGGTGACGTGGCGAAAAAAAACACATCCCGAAGAAGCTCTTAATTATGCCCTGCAAGTGTGAAGTTTTAATTTCAAGCTCAAATGATAAGACACCTGACTATGTCTTTGTAAGGTTTAGTCAGTGACAAAGAGGTATCCCGTAAAAGAGTGAATATAAAAAAGGACATGATGAGCAATGATGTGGGTACGGCCACGGATGCCGCTCGGACAAGAACTAGCTGGTTTTATACAACACCTGAATAAATCCCCGTCATCTGATTGGTGAATTGTAGATCACGTGACATATTATTATTCGGTATAATGCACGGTGCGACCATGCGTTATACCCATGCGTTATACCGTTTCACTTTGCGCTTGTTCCATGACGCGGTATTTGCGTGCAAAATGCATGCTGGTGTGCGCGTTCAGCGTAGTGCGTATTGTTCCAAAGAGCCAGCGCTACAGCGTTGGGTTCAAACATTTTCGTGAAGGGGTAGTTCAACATCTTTAAAATCAAAATAAATTGTAGTTTATAATTTACCAATCAAATGACGAGAATTTATTCAGGTGTTGTATAAAACAAATAACGAATGTTTTACGTTCGTGCGATGGAAAGAATAATTTCATTCGGTGACAGATTGAATGTTCTATTCCACTCGGCTTCGCCTCGTGGAATAGAACATTCAATCTGTCACCTCATGAAATTATTCTTACCATCGCACTCACAAACATTCGTTATTTGTATAATATCACCGTTTTGTGTGGTTATAAATATCAAACCCACATGATATACATCTTATTTGGAAGTGATATGTACAGTGCCACAGTGTAACAGATGAAATAACCACACAAATGGTGATTTACGGACAAGCACCTTTCTCCGAGCCACATATCCGTATCACGTATATATGCGTACCATTGTAATGGTCCATAATGGTCCCTATTATTGTTCCTTGCGAACCACGTGTGGTTATGAATCGAGAGGCGATGACGAATGTGCTTTATATAACCGACATACAGATCCTTGTCATTTGATTGGTGGAACTCACACCACGTGGCATTCGTTATTGCTCCCATTCATGCCGCGGCTCAAAAAGTACTATCCGCCCATGGGGAATGGGAAATATTATAACACCTCACCCACAGATTCTGTGTCTTGATTGGCCGAGAGCGAGTCACATGTTACTTTCTAATTTTGCTATCTTTCTGTGCACGGCCAAAAGTACTATGCGCATAGCAACCAAAGTACTATACCATTAGCAACCAAAGTACTATTTCCACGGCGCGGTATTTGTGTGCAAATGCATGCTGGTGTGCGCGTTGCGCGTTGTGCGTAGCGCGTATTATTCCAAAGAGAGCGCGCCGCAGACTTGGGTTCAAACATTTCGTGAAGGGTTAGTTTTTAAGAGAGAAATACAGTTTCCACCAATTTTGTATTGAAATTGAAGTTTATTTCAACTGTGTTCAGATTTAAATCATGTAAAATATTAAAATCAAGCAGAATCTGTGGGTGAAGTGTTATAAAACAAATATTGAATGCTTTATCTCGTGGTGAAGTAAAACTAGCCTCCCTCGGTGATCCATGGACCATTCTATTTTCCCTCGGCTTCGCCTCGGGAAAATAGAATGTCCATGGATCACCTCGGGAGCCTAGTTTTACTACACCACTCGAAGCATTCAATATTTGTATAATATCCCATAACGTCATATAATCAGGGAATTACAAGCGAAATTTCCGTCACTGTATTCCTTTTTTATCCATGACATTATAACGTCAATAAAGTCGGTTGGATTTCCCCGTTATGCCGCGTTGCGCGCGTGACGTTCACTTTTCAGGTTTTTTTTTCTGTTGGAAAGGCCATCCATTTAGTCGCGACGCAAATTAGCGTGTTGGATTCCCGCATACCGCCTACCCCCTTCGCCTGTGTCGGAAATGTTTTGTCAGGTGACAAGGCCGCCTAGGCGCCATGTGGCCGTCGTGCGTGTTTATAATTTAAGCACTTTTTGGAGTATGTGCCAAAATGGCAGCTGCCAGTCCCAATCGCCTGGGGATAAATCCTCAGGCCACAGCGGAGAAGCATCTAGACATTTTAATTATGTTTCATGTTCAAGTCTTGAATAGAAAAATACGTATTGTTATCTTGACTTAAATTCACAGTTGAGTGGTTGGATCTTTGTAAATAATTTGTAGTTCTAACATCCTATATTAGTTCATATAACCGGTAAATGTAGCTGATATAGGATATCCTATCCAAGAGCCCCACAGCAACAAAACTCTTTGAAAATGATTCCTCATATGCAAATGTGAACAATTTTGCTTACGAGAAAGGGAATTGTAAATGTCATTTGTGCTCCCTGACCACATAAATGCTTTATGTGAAGTGGAAAGTGTTAATGTTTCCCCTTTCTATTTGTCTCTTGACGTAGACACCAGGAGCCGGGAAGCAATGCGGTGTGCGTCTGGTGCTAGTTACGCCATCGCCTTCAAGATGGTTCTACTTAGCCTTGTGTGGCTTCCTCAAGTGCCTGCACGTGTCCCGGCTACAGATTTAGACATTTCATCCTCGCCGCCACCACCAACACGAACAACATCATCATCGTCATCATCTTTATCTAGCCCACCTGCAAAGCCAACGCAACACTACACGTTATCTTCTTCCTCACTATTTTCTAAATCCATGCAATCTTCAGACACTGCGAGTTCTCACCGTGACACGAGTGGGCATACGGAGAGCGACAACGCGAAATCACCGCCGTCGCAAAACCCGCTGCAGAGGACAGCAATAACAACGCCGCCTGGACCGCCGAGTGTTTTCACAAGCGAGGGAGACGCGGTGCTGGACCGTAGCACTACGAGTAGCGGGGCCGAGGGAGCCCTTGTTTATTATGGCAGCTCTGGCTCTCCTGGGTTGAGGGGAACGGACTTGCAATCAGTAAGCTCAACTACAGCGTCAACGAATTACGTGTGCGACTTGAAGTGCGGTGACGTCATGGCCCGTAAGCAAGGCATATGCGGCTGCAACGCCAAACTGACCGGCAGGCCTTTTTTGAAATCCGGAATCAAAAGAAGTGCATTACACAGGCCGATGTTGAATTGAACAATTATCTCCGATTCAACAGTATATTGTTGTTTGAGAAAGACAAAAGTCTAAACGTTTGATCAAGAAGACTATAGTAGGCCAGCCAATGTGGAAAAGTTCTCTAAATAATAATTTTATGGCATTTCTGGGTAATAGCTGTCATCCATGCTAGATCAATTCTTTGAACCATTACAAACAAGATATGGGTGGGTGCCCTCGTTAACTTTGACCCTAAATATACCTAATTTGCATAAATCATGAATCCCTGCCGTGTAATATATTTTGTTCCCCATATTGGAGATATATGTATATTTTTTTTTTAAATTTTATTTTGGTGATTCTACTTACACATCCTTACTTCAATGGCATTTTCTAAAGCATATAAGTGACTGAATATTATTATGAGGACATAGTAACGAATACTCTTACACCCCAAAGTTTCGCGCATTTACCTCGTCTCCAGATATCTCCAAGTAGTCTTGCCAAACATCAGTATATGAGCTTCAAATTCACCAAGTTGCTTACTGGCACAGTTACCCTATATTAAAACGTTATGAAAAAGCATGCGAACAACGATATTGTTGTGATATTTAGCCCACCAAACAGAAAGGGGGAAAACGAGGTGTATGTTAATTGATAATTAATGAAGGGTTGCCTAACGTGGGAGACTTGAAAAAGTTTAAGGAAATTCCCAAAATTATTGGAAGAAAATTAATGGAAAGAAAACAAACTGACATTGACATAATTATTGGCAGCATTTTTTTTTTGGGGGGGGGGGATTTCCTTGAACTTATTCAAGTCTCCCACGTTAGGCGACCCTTCGCCTAATTTAAGCCCAGTTTACGGACAGCCAGCTCGTTTTCCCGGTTTTGTTTGCTGAGCTAAATATCATAATGGTATCATTGTTCCCATGATTTTTCCATATAAAATGTTAATAGGGCAACTGTGCAAATAAGCAACCTGATGAATTTGATGCTCATCAATACTGAGGTTTGGCAAGACTACTTGATGATATAGAGACAAGGTAAATGCGCGCTATTTTTGGGGTATAATAGTAGCAATTTTGGATCGTTGCTATGTCCTCATAATTATTCAGTCACTTAGGCCTATATGCTTAAGAAAATGTTATTTAAGTAAGGATGTGTTAGTATAATCACTAAAATAAACCTTTCAAAAAATTAAAAATAAAGAATATACCAAAATATGGGAATAAATATATTACGCGGCAGGGATTAACAATTTATGCAAATTAGGCATATTTAGGGTCAAAATTAACGATGACATCCACCCACATCTTGTTTGTTATGGTTCAAAGAATTGATCTAGCATGGATGCCAGCTATTATCCAAAAATGCCATCCAAAGTGTAGTATTTCTCTTTGGCCAGTCCACTACTAAGAGTATAAGCAATATTTTCTTACTTTCGCCCTTACAGCAAAGGTTTATATAAAAACAAAGTATGGGACGGCCTTCGGATTCTACCTAACGTCTCGTTTCCGGACAAATCTCCCCCATAACATTACATTAAATTACTTCATCGGGCTTGTCCCGCTTTTTTAGCTGCAGAAATACTAACGTGATCAGTTTGACGATTCAGCATGCAAAATTGCTTTCAAAACACTTCAGCTCAGTTTTGCAACCAACCGATTTGAAATTTAGTTGACTATTCTGCACTCGTCGTTTCTAGTCGTCTGTTAAGAGTTAACGTTCGAAAGATATTCACCACTTCTGGATTCAACAAAACGTTTAAATAATGCTGATTAATACGACTTATACATCACAAATTTGTACAACAGCTTTACCACGTTTCAACAAGCAGCCGGAAGGTCAACCAATGTACGTATGGCACCTAGTGCACTTTATATAACTGACGCAATGAAGATAAAAGGAGCCCTGACTGCATAGATTGACTTTGAATTCACACGATATCGTCTGTTCGTACAATTTGGCCCACGTTTTGAGCGCTCATGAACACTGGAAACCACACAAATCTGATACTCTCATTGACTCGTTTATATTGATTATCAATGAAAGAACGTTAAAGAACTGTAAAACACAGTTCAAGAACTGTCCAGAACTGTACGGTACCTCTTTATTGAGTTCAGAATGTGTGGCGCATTGAACTAGATTTATTTCACAACCGTTTCGTTATGGTTGTAGTATGCGCATCTCGTAAAAACAACTAAGCACGTCCACGACGCACTGACTGAGTTACACTGAGCCACAATGTCAGTTTCATTTCAACCGTCCAGAAATATGCGGTCTGTACTCGTTGTACATGTAGACGTATTCTTCGGATTTTAATTTGTCTTTATCTACAGTTCTTATTGGCAAACAAACTGTCATACGTAAAATAAAACAGACAATAACGAATCCTCATTCGTTTTCTTTCTTTAAATTAATATGGAGCTTACGATGTCAAATGGAGTACAACTACTGGACACAATGCTAGTGATGTCTATTAAAGATACAACCGTTTGAAAGATGTACTTTCGTCCAGAGATTGCCAAAATATTGTTTATTATATTGTTTAGTTACCCTAATGTCTGGATCATAATCACATAATAGTTGCTCATGTTTGCGGAGGAAACGTTGAAAATCCCGTTGAATTAACCACTTTGTGCCTATCGGTATTTATGATGATGCCATGCATCGATTTACGAGCTCAAACCGTCTACACCAGACTGGCGCCGGATATAATGCATCAAACTGAGTGACAGTTAATGGTGGAAAATCAGGTCCTACGACATGATAAGAGCACGTTTTTGAAGCAACGGTTTCGAAAAGAAATGTATGACTGGAATCAAGACTATAGAACACCAAAGATCACAATGTCCTACATTCACTGTACTTCCAACTGTCAACGACTACTTTTACGAACGAAATAATTGTGTAGTTGTGTACATGTATTGCGATAAGTTCCTCCGCGTGATAGTTACATGAAAACAATAATTTTCAAGGTAAAGATGTGTGCGTTATTTACATTTCCTAAGCATCCCAACTATTTTCGTTTTTTGGGGGAGGAAACACCTTTTAGAGCCCAAATCGGTATGTTTGGACAGAGGGGCTCAATAGCACCATAGAAGTGGCTCTATGAATCATTGATAGTGGTGACAATTCGCAAATATTGTCAACAGACTTGGTCAAACAGTGGAAAAACAAACCATCATATTCAATGACAGACCGACCCCAGTTACCGAAGAAAAACACTTCATCTAGTCAATATTCGAAGTTAATATGCTCATTGTGCTCGAGATCGAGATGGTATTCAATCATATCCATGCAGGGAGAATGAAAAGACTGCATGTGGATATTACGAGGAGGCCATACAGATACCATCCCGTCTGTCTCCTGTTGTTTTGACAATGAGTCAGGCCTGGGTAATGCGATATCATCCCAGCGATGGATTAGAGAGGGGTGAATGCTCTATGAACATCGAACAGACATATCAGCGTGGGTACAGGTTTAGAGAAACACAGGCCGATAGTCCCAATGTGGATAATGCACACAAAATGGCATGCTGTTATATGATTATGTAGCCCAGGGCCAAAATGTGCAGGGGACTATGTTATGCTGCCACCAAGCGGTTGAAAAGGTCTCAAACTGAAACTGCTTGGTTTTCGGTATTCAGACGGAGCGTATACGCGCTGACATAAAAGTTACGTAGCATACCAAGACAGAAGGCATCCACACACACTAGTGGATCGAAGGGGCGGGACCAACGGGGTCACCGACCAATCCCCACCCAACCCCCCCAAACCGTTATGTTTGTTTATTTTTGTATTATATTTTTGTATTGTTTTGTTTGTTTTAAGCCAGAAAGATCAGACGACTGTTTTTAATTGTTGCTGCCGTCAACTCATCTGATCCCACTTTCAATGATGTCCGATAGGCGATCAACATGACCCCTTGGAAAGATATTCCCATCTTTCTGGCCCCCGTGATTGTGGATCCGCCTGTGACTGGTTAGGTTAACCCGTCAATCTCCGTAACGTTTTCGGCATTGGAATAAATGTTCCCACGCTGGTCAGCCTCATGAGGTTCACTACCATGTGGGAGCCCGGGAGACTTTCTCATTATTTGTCACAATAATCAAACCTCGCCATGTTTACACCATACATCTACGAGTAAACAAACTAAAGCCCATATTCATCCCTAATATAACAACAACATACACGAGATCTTCTAAAGACAATCACTTCAATTAAATATATGTAGTTTAAATGTCATTATGTGACCTCTACGCGATAAAGTACTTCTTATGGTATCAAATGTTGAACATGAAAATATAACACTAACACGCGGTATAGACATGATGCAAACACTGAGTCGGCATGTTGGGTATGTTACCAAGTCCATCTGTTGTTTTCTTAACGATCCAATGGTGGCCTTGCCCTATCCAGTAGGGCAATATGATTGGAAAATATACTGAACGGAAATTAAAACCGACGGCCTAGCGGCTTATAATTATGGCGGCAATTGGGGAATGGGAGGGATTTGGAAAGAAGAGGGGGAAAGAGATTGATGTTGTCGTTTGCTGTAGCGTGGAAACGGATATTTATCTAACCCTTTCCATTTTAGAACATTCATTTAAACGTTCTCGAGATCGAAAAAGCGAGTTACCCTCAATGACGACGAATCAATGTGGCTAATTGTTTCAATCGTGTAAAGTCATTTAGGCCATGAAGCTACCGATGTAATCAAGGTAGATGTGTGTATACTGATACACGTATATTTTCGACAAAGTTATGACCAGGCAAAAAGAACACACTGATCGCAACATGAAGTTGAAACCCAGGATTCTCAGAACTTTAACAACTTGCAAGCGACTGGCAGCATTCTTATGTCAAACAGTAAATTAATGGGAGTTCATTTATTGTCTATGTACTTTTAAACCAAACACATTCAAACTTATTTCCACAAGGATTTTCTTAATATTATTATTTTATTTCTCAGCTATTTGATAATAAATATAATCACAATAATATTCCACACTTTAGGCAAACCATTAAAAGAACATAAATAAAGACAGATATATCGTAATGACTACAATTGTGTCATTAGAATAGTTGCAATTCTCATGTTTTAGTTAAAAAGAAAAAAAAGCATTTTACAAATTTCTGGACAATTTTTCATCATTATTTACTTTTCAAACACCTGAATAACAAAACTTGTATTTAAATCATTATCAGTAGATATCTACTGGCGGAACTTGGAATGCACTTTCTGACATTTTAATGTTTAATTCTGAATAATGGATTAAAAACAGGAACCCCCCCCCCCAAAAAAAACCCCCTATATCTGTGTGATTTATTTTCAAGAAATTCTCGACTGTTCAGTGGTGGGTGACTTGCAAACAATGCATCACCCAACTGAACTTATGAAATTAGGTATAAATTAATATTGGGATTTGCCCTTTACCAACGAAACATTGTAAGTGCAGTACTGTATACTCGGTGCTGTCTGAGGTGGTGGGTTCCAGTCCCACCCGAGTAAACTTGTGAACTTGTTCTCGCAAGCCCTAAGACAGCACTGTGTACACAGCACATGTGACATGGCATTGGTAAAGGGCAAAACCAAACATTGAATAGACAAACTTCTACTTATACTTAATAGGGAACAATTGTATATTCCTTTGCACATGGCACCCTTCTACCTGTTACAGTAATACTGTCGGATATCCCACTTGGTCTAGTTCCCTGACACTTCCAATTCAAGGAACAAATATTAAAATGGTAAGGAATACTCTACACGTGCACATTATTCCACATTAAACACTTTACCCACCACTGCAAAACAAGCCAAATTTACTTACAATGAATCAATACCTCCCGTGCAATTATCTTTGCACTACTCATGGGTCACGTCCTTTCACACTGGAACAGTATACTTTTCCAAATCATTTGGTATCTAAATTAAACAAAATTACCATTACAAAAATAACCAGTGTTTTCATACGGAAAATGACTACAATCAAGATTGAGATTTTCACCTCGTGCATACATTAATAATTCAAGGCACTACATGCATATATGCAAATATCAATTATGTGACTGTAGAGAAAAGGCAAAAATTACGGAGAATATGAAAAACTAGCAACAAGGGAAGAACAAAAATTACAGCCAAGCATTAATGAAACGCTGTGGCTGGACCTTTGTTACTTGGAAAAGCGAAATAAAAAAAAGTGATGAACAGGAATGTAGAATAAAGATTTTTTTAAAGAACACATTTTGGCCTTCAAGTTTGCATGGATTATGAACGAGCAATTTGAGTATACTGAACTCATTCAAGTATTCAATGAGCTACTGACTTTTCATTCGTTAAAAATGTACATTATAAATGCTCATTCCTCATAGAGTACATTACTGTATATACTGTACATTACATACTGTACTACTATACTCAAATCTGGAGGATATGAGAAGTAAAACTTCATGCTCTTTGTCATAAAATGGGCTTGTATATATCTGAGGAAAAGGCAACTGCAACTTGAAATTTATCCACATGATTTTATTTGAGAGAGTAAAGATATTACAGTAACTTTAGTGGTTAAAGAGTAGCGCAGTCTGTGGTGTCCATGAGATCTGTAGAGAGTGGGGTCGAACGGGGTGTGCGTGGGGGTTGTTCAAGGTGCAAGCTACATTAGGTAATGCTTTTGGGAAGTCTAAATTCTTTAAGTGAGAAGCAGTGGTAGGCAAAAGTTGTTGATAAGCCTAAAGTCATGGTTTCTACAGAAGGCTTACTCGTCCCACTATAATATTGCTCATTGTTCCCTCCCACGATTCCTCAAACGAATCCATGTCTTGTTGACACCTCAGACTGTGCATAGTGATAAGCTAGCTCTCTACATACACGTATATCATCATCTCCACACAATATTTACAACTGATATTTACAAGATATGTATACAACTCATCATTCTCATAATGCACTTCTAAAATTTGGATCCCTACTGAAACTCCCCATTTGTAAAACAACTAGAACAAAATTGTAAACGGCATTTGTTCCTCGTTTATATCAGTTAAGATACAGGCATGGAATAACACAAAGTTTTTCTTCAAAAATCCAGACAAAAAGAATACCCCTTCAACCACCAGAACAGCATGCGTAATACTTAAGTACACTATAGACATGGTGTAAATGCATTGGTCTTGGCACAGGAGGAATATATAGTCGGTTAGTTTTATATGATTGTCTGGGCTTGCATGCACAACAACAGGACGTGCCACCAAAACTGCAAATAGATTGATTCACTGTGTGATTCACTATTGGTATCTGAATCAATGGACAAATTGGTAGCGGAAGGTGACTGTGTATGGACTCCATGAACAAGCACCCCCTCAATTGTTACAAAGACTGGGAGGGACATTTGATTGTACAACTGGCACTCACCCGTGCACACTTGGCTCAGTGTTTGCGCAAACTACTAAAAGTGGTCAAAAAGCCCCATCTACTGTTCATACATGGAGCCCATAGACCAAATTCTCAATCTGTGAATCTGGCCACATATCATCAACAATACACTACCATAACAGATAATGGAACAGATACCAGAGATGAGGCTTGCTGTGTTTAACACACGTGACAAAATATACCAGTCAGTAGTCCATCTGCAGCTAGCCATCGTATGCAAATTGTCAGATTCCTTCAGTATCTCAGAATACACCTCCAATTTGATTACATGTCCTTTGTTCTGACGATGTACTACAAAGTCAGAAAATGCCCATCGCTCGGTTGTTATTTCACCCTCTGTGTGACTATGCACTACAGATATCTGGTTGTATAAAACAAATCATTTCAAACAAAGAACTAACACTTGTCCAGACAAGGAATCGGGAAAATCTTGCAGTGAATTGGTGTTGTATACAGTAGAACACCACAATGACAAACACCGTTATACTGGCTATCATGAACACAACTTTGGCTCTCAAATGTACATACAACTATACAGAGCATTGGCAGTTAAAAATCACCATAACAAACGATCACTATACCAAACAATGTTTTGTAAATTTGTTATAGTGAAGTTCTACTGTACACGTAAAGCGTCCTATTGCAAATCTCAAGTACCAACCTGCAATGTACAGTGCACTGATGACTTGATCATCATACACCAAGTGAAGCTGCATGGTTTTCTTGGGCCTTAGAGTGGACGTAGTCAATGTCTGGTCGGTGGTCAGGGTTGGGCTGGATGCAGACTTGTACAAGAGTCCGCAGCTGTCATTGGAGAGAATAAAGTATCCATTATTGAGTTGACCTTCTTGTTACATTTCCATTTAATGTGTTGCTTGAATTTGCGTTAACCCTTACCTTTCTAAACCCTCCAAAAATCAACCAGGCAGTTTTGGGGGATTTTGGAGGATTGAGGCTTTATGCCATTGTAGTGGCAGTTGATTTTGGAGGATGCATTGTGTCAAGGTCTTAAGCTATACCTTGTGTTGTTTATGCTTAGCCATGCATAAATTATGCCTACACTACACTAGATATCATCCGCACTGCTTCTGGATATCATCCGCACTGCTCCAACGTGTGCAAAAGTGCGTCAGAGGATTTTGAAGGATTGAGGCTGGATCCAATTTTACATGTTGGCAATTGGAGGGTTTTGAAGGATGGTACCTAGCCAGAGAGGGCCTAGGCAGTTAGGGTTAATGCTGCAATCTTAAATCTCTCAGTCAAAAGTCAAGTAAAAAGCTATTCACATGAGTTGTGAAAATGACATTCCTTTGTCATTGTTCATCCAATTTACACCTGTGGCATGAATAGTGATTAACTCATGGCTGAACTACAATGGATCCATTGACAAATCTGTGCTGTACTTTTTAATTTCAGAGGGGAAAAAGGAAGACTACATGTACTTGAATGGTTCAAGAAGCCAAAAGGTCTTCCAAACCTTTATTTTGTAGAGTAGAAAGGAGCAACTTAGATTCCATTCCAGTTATTTGCACCGCCATTTTTATGGAAGGTGTCATTTTGGACAGTTGTTTGGAGGGTGACAAAATGTAATACATCTGGTGGCTTGTTGCCTTTGCTTTCCAACATTGTTGTAAACAGGAGAATGGCAACCAATAAAATGGGTTTAAACAAGGTTTTTATTGGTATCTAGTAGAACTATAGCAAATCGGAGGAAAAGGAGCACTTCAGGATTGAGGCTCACATAAAAACGAAAAGCTGAGCAACCCATTATATTTTGGCTTTTTCCCACTGGACTACAAATGGCTATTTGCAACTTTCAGCCCATTTGCTGGTGACAGGTCACATCATTATTTAGTACAAAAAAACACAGTTCAGAACTAAAACTTTTGAAGGTTTCGTTCCATTTTGAATTAAAAGTATTCTACATTGTCATATGTTATTTTTACCATCTGAAACACCATCTGAAATGAATGTGACACAAAGAAAGTCAGAAAGTTCCAACACACATGTGCACACAGTACACGTACATAGTTATCATCCATGTAGAATGGTCAATATTAACATAAAGTGGAAAATAACTCAATCTCAATGACTGCTGGCAGTAAATAGGTCCCCAATTGCCTAAGCTTTTATCTAATATGATCATGGGCGTCAATCGGTGGGGGACAAGTCCCCCCTTTTTTTAATTGGGGGGATATCATATCCTTTGTACCCCCCCTCTTTTTCGTCCCCGAATAAATACTGTATTACATTTGATTCTATAGCTCCGAATAGCTGATTCAATGACTCCATTTTCGAAAATGATGTTTAAATGATGATCTTCTGCTCAAAAATTGGTTAAAGTGGTCAGAAATGGCCTCAGATTGAACCACAGAGTTTCTGGAATCCAAACAATTTTAGGCCCCGGATCCCCTTACGTTACAGCTTCGCGCTACGTACTTGCACTATGTGCTCGCATGATTCCTGATCAAGGTATTCCCCCCCCCCCACTTTTGAGAAGCAATTGACGCCCTTGAATATGCAGGCTCACAGGCTTAAGTGCAATGGGTGTTTCTTTTAGCAGTCCTTTGTTTCATTCCCACACAATCTAAACAGCAAACTATTGTATAGGAGCAATCTCAAACATGACCCCTGGCAGTTGCAGGCAGGAATAGCATGTGCTCTTTATTGACCAGGCAAGATATGCTTTGTGGAATCGTCTAAAGCATTTCAAGTTTGGAGAGTGTGCCTTAATCCACCATTTATCAGTGATATTTAAGGGCAAGTTCTCCCTGCAGCTAGGAGAAAATTTACTAGAAGTTGCCATGAAAGAGTCTACTATTCATTTCTCACTAATAAGATATTAAAATGTTTAATACTGGGTTTGATAATCATTCTAAACTCAGTGCTACACATATCTTCTAAGTGGTGCAGATGAATATTATGCAAATATTGAGTGTTTGAACCCAACCTTGTAGCTATTGGCTCTAAGGAACAATACGCGCTACGCGCAATGCTCAAAGCGCACACCAGCATGCATTTGCACTCAAATACCGCGCCATGGAACAAGGATGATCCTACGGTAACTGTTGAAGAGTCAATCCCATTCACCAAGGGCGAATGGGACTTTTTGAGCCCCGGCATGAATGGGAGCAATAATGAATGGTTCCACCAATCAAATGACAATGTTCCGTATGTCAGTTATATAACAGTGGATCACTGACCATACCATGTGGGCTGGCCGATTCAAATCTTAAACAGCAGCAGTAATACTGCAAACAATCCCCTCTTCAAAATACATCGTGAGTGCAGATTCAACTTTCCTTTAATCAATAGGAAATACCTGTGTTTGCTGGTATAGGCCAGCATGGGGGAGGGGGGGGGTGTCATGATATACTTACACGGTTGGAGAAATAGGAAGGCAAGGAAGGATATTCACATTTGTCAATCTTCTCGCATAACGTCCACAAATCCAGACCCTCGCTATAGAACGGCGAGTCGAGGGCGGCCATCTAGGAGGACGCAGGAACCAAACCGAGAACCAAGATGGTGCAACGACCACAAAAATGTGTACAGGACAGAGAAGAGTTAACTCACACTGGAAAAACTCCCTGACCAAGGGTCAAGGGTCAGAGGTCATGTGTTTTGCCGAGGTCAACAGTTTGCTGTTTGCGTGTCAAAGACATTCTATTGTATGATAGCTGAGACCCTTTGACAGGTGTTTTTAGACGATAAATTATCAAGTAATGTCTTTGACAGAAATTGGCAAACTTTTGTTCAGCGAAACAACACAACCCAAACCGATTGATTACTGGGATCCACTTACGTAGAGCACACAATGTCAGTTTCTTTGCTTAGTGCATCAAACTGACACAACCAATATAATCATCAATGTACTACATTGTAGTGATTCTGATTGATCAGGCCAATATAAGCAATGTTCTGACTTAGTGGGCTCTACATAACTGCACCACCAACCATAGTTGTTAGACTAGTATTAAGCACGCCAGACATACCACATGCGCTTACCTCGTGTGAGTAGATATCGGATGGAAGTGGGGGATAATCGCACTGCTCGATTTTCTTGCACAGAGAGTATAAGTTCATCTTGTCCCCATAGAAAGGTGATTGCAAAGCGGCCATCTATAGAGGCATCGAGGGGAGGTTTGTTTTCCGTGGGATGACGATGATGATAAATGATGATGACGCAGGAATGCGAGGCAGGGGGGGGGGAGCAAATGGGATGAGGCAGCATTAACAGATGCAGGGAGATAAGAGGATTGTGTTAGGTGTGTATAGGGAATGGTTCAGGATGGGTTGGGATTAATGACAGCAGGCAGATGAGGGATTAAGAAAGGATTAAGCAGATGCAGGGGATTAAGATATGAATTGATGATGCAAGGGAGCATGGCAAATAAGTGGGTTCGAAATGTAATTGAGACAATGAAATTGAGATCATAGCAATGAATGAATTGATTCGGGAGGGAGAGAGAGAGAAAAGGGCAAAGAAAAATAAACAAAAAAAGAAAATGCTCAATCCGTTCCGAGTTTCTGGACCCTTTGAGGACAAACATGCACCTGTGAAAACCCATGCAGAGCACTATAGAGACTTGAAGCCATGCTTCTACGTACGTCTTGTGAAATCTGCTTGTTTGGATGGCCATATGCTGCAGATGGCCTAATTTGAGTATCAAGATCTGAATGTCTACAAATTCTTGCTCAACAAATGTAAAACAAAAACAAAAATTGTGGCATAAACAGGTACAAACAATAACATACATCAAGCACATCAGACATCACAGCACCTATATATTAAACAGAAATAGCAACAGATATCTTTTCAGAACACCATGAAATTAAACCTTTTCAGCTTTCATACAATTTGCAGGCAAATGTCAAATTGAGATAAAGAACTACTGCGTGATATATCATCTATCTGATTTTTGTGTGTGCTTGCAGCCTGGAATGAGTTTAACAAATAATATCTGAAACACAAACATGTATGAATTCAGCAAACGAGTGCCACTAGTTTGCATGGGGTTCCACAGGCATTCAACAAAACCATGACTAAACACAACAAACATGAAACATAAATTTAAGCAGCGTTCTTGTGAATGACCAAACACAAAAGTAATTGGTGCCTCTGGACTAACTTTCTCAAAATAACACAAAACACATGAAAAAAAAATCAATTGAAAGGAACTCTGGGACAAAATATCAAACAAAATCTGTCCTCACAAAGTCCCCCAAAATGAGCTTTAGGTTTGATTTTCATGTATTGAACATACCAAAATCTGCACTGTTTCTTTTTGTTTGAAAATGAAAGCAGACCCCTTATTCTCTCTCCCAAATGGATAAGCAAGGATTCAGGATAACAACGCTGCCACAATGTCTCATTTCAATCAAACAGACATGCAAGTACAAACATGTACATGCAGTCATGCACACCACATATCCATCATGCCCAAATTGATTAGAGCAGGATTTCCATGCAGATAAACATTCCCCTACAGATGTGTTTTAAATTTTACTGAAGTGGGAAAAATGTGGCCACTGATCCGCCCAATTAAAGATGACAAAAGAGGACATGATATCTGAACCATTAGCGACTTGAAATCCACAGTTCAAATTCTAAGTCCTTCCTTAGACTCAACAAGCGCACAAACATGACCACAGACCACTTCTAAATCACTAACAGTATGCACTTGAACGGGAGGTAAATTATTTACAGCACGAGTCCATGCATGCCTATGCATTATGCATCATTAATTAAGCCTGAATTATGAATCAAGTAAAGAAGCATGCTATTTACCAAGTAACATGCAAACAATTTAACACTATAACGCATACAGCAGCCATGCATACAAATGTCATGCATACGTAGGTACATGTTACTACATTTACATTATTAACATGTTTTCCCTCATAAATTAGCTTACATAAACCAGAGGGCAGTATCCAATATTTGCTGAATTAGATTTTCTAAGCAGCTACAGCCTCTAGAGGGCGATATGCTTGCTTCATAGACTTTTTTCTATATTTTTCTTTTTTAGAAGTTGAGTATCATTTTTCATATGTTAATTCCATGAGAGAGAATTATTCATGCCGGACCAAATATGCTTGTTCTCAGATTTGGCTTCTGATACAATGAAATTTGTCAAGAATTTAGTTATCAAGGAAAGCAATGTTAAATATGCAGTAAAAAAAAAGAATTAATTTTCCTGTCTTCACCTGTCCGTGACATAGTAACTTTTCCACTTTTTTTCATGTAAATAAAATGTACCCCGTGGTTAACCTTAACTCCATCAGCATTTTTTCAAAGCCTTCCTAAGTCCTTCAAAATCCACCACTATAATGGGAGCCAATGGAACATTCTTTCAACTTCTTCCTGACTTTCAAGGAGCATGAAATCACATATAAATTTAGGGTGGGAAAGTGCTATCGTCACCTTCCTTTAATCCTTCATTATCCTCCACATAGCCTCATGGTGGATTTTGAAGGAATTTGGAGTGTTAGGGAAAATGCTTCAAGAGTTTTTGTTATATAATTTTTTTCTATGTGGGACGTACCTCGTAGAGCAAGCAGCCTATTGACCAGATATCTGATTTGAAGTTATACCCGGTTTCATGAATGCGTTCTGGTGACATGTAGTACGGTGTCCCCACCAGAGAATGGGCAGCGGTTGTCTTTGAGCTGAAGAACCGGCCTAGACCGAGGTCACCCAGCTTGACCACACCCGTGGCTGTGATGAACACATTGGCTGGTTTGATATCTACATGATGAAGCAGGATGGCTGGTTAATATTCATATATCACATGGTCTGAGGGGAAGTAGTGCATAATTTCTTGGGTACACAACGGAGTGACAGATCGTCTATAGACTTTGTGCAGACGACACGTCACTTCGTGGAGCAACTGTCAAATGAATAGTCCTAGACTGTTAGTTGATTTGATCCCCTCATTCAAAAGAGGGCTTTCCCAAAATTTCTGGTGAAAACTTTTAAATTGGCCATCCTTCTGCAATCTTTGTCTTTACACACTGCTAAATCAATTGCACAGCCTGGTTAATAATTGTCAATACCCATAGAAACATTGCAGCAACAATTTACATGTTCACAGTTGAGAGGATGACAAACAATGATTGAAAAGTTTTTCTTCACCATTTACAAGAAAATAGCAAAAACATCTTGACAATCAATTTTATATTAAAGATCCATTGAAACGAATGGAATTCACAAAGATTCCCTATATTTTAAGTGAACTTATCGAGCAACTGTCCTTGATTCGCATTGCAAAATGTAAGGAAATTTTCCCTTTTTTGATATCAGATTATTACAAAAATCTGTTTTACTTTACAAAAAAAAATATGCACAGCAGGGTGCTTTACTTCTTTGTTTGTGTGTGCAAAAGTGCTCACTGCCACAACACATTGTGAATCAGGTTGATATTACATTGTAGCTGTAGTTACCTCTGTGCATGACTCTACGTGAATGCATGTGTGCCAGTGCACTGCATAGCTGTACAAAATACTTCCATATAGTTCTCTCTGGGATCAAACGCTTCTGTTTCTTGAAATGCTGTTGGTAGAAGACAACAAATATGCATTTTTTCCCCTGAATGACAGTGAATGTATATCTGCATGTAATATCAGCTGTCACAAATCAATGTAAAGCCTCTTCAAAATGATGTGTGATCTGCAGAAACAAAAATAGAGCTGCTTCTTACAACTGCGCTGGGTCGGCCATATTACATGTAAATTGAAAGGGATTCAACCCTTGAGTTGAATAAAGTTGATGCAAGCAAGGCAAATTATAGATTAGCTTGATTGTACTCTGAACAATTATTCTATATTATAGATGAAAGTCCTGCATGAAAAATATATTTGAAAGTGATTACGCAATGCAATCATAACAACATAGTGTGGAATTTTCCATTCAATATCCAAAAAATCATTAAAAATCAATGTGTAAATAAAGCAATATCCAAAGTGTCCCGTTCCATGCAAAAGTATACATTAAAACTGGGGAAAAGGGCAATGTTGATTTTTTTTGAATAACAACTGGGACTGAACCGACCTTAATCATCTTGGATAGGTCTCCAGCATCAGCTAGCTCTAGTACAATGTTCAGCTCATTGTTCTCAATGAAAGACGCTTGGTACATGATGACATTGGGGTGGTTTAATTGCTGTTGGGATAAGCGCAAAAAAGAAGAAGAAAAATGACAGGAAGAAGGGAACATGAACCTTGTATTAAGTCAGCTACACGGCAAGAAGACTTGTTTGCAATACACTGTTTTTATTTCTGTTTACTTATTACTGATTACAATTAAAGTTTGCTGGCTTGTTTACTGTTCAATGATTTACTTTGGGTTTAAATATTTTTCTCATCTTCAAAAAAATGATTTCTAGTGATAATATATTAGTATGAAAAAATTCAACCCATCAAATATAAAATAAATGTACCAATGTCAGCCACAACAAAACTTTACATTTCACTTGATGTTCCTGAAGATACCTACATGTAATTAGGGTTGCAATGATTCACTATTTGCTTGTCATTATTTGTTTAGGGGGAGGTGCAGGGGTGTATGCTGGGAGTGTTATTACAGGCATCATGCAACTGGGAATTTAGGGGAAATAATGAGGAAATTCCAAATCACACAAGACTTTGTACAGTATTTTTCAATTTGTAATGGCATTCATGAGAAGTAAACAAGTGTGAGTGCACAATAAGCACAATAGGACGGCCAGTCTTGCATGAAAGTCTTGCATGAAATCTATCAAAATTATCCCTGCCAGAGCTTAAAAATGTGAAGCCCAAAAATGCAACACCGATGGCACATATGGAACACCATACTTTAGATGTATACCTAGATTTACAGCGATTTGTGATAAATACCACGTGACTATAACATTACTGAACATATTTTCCCTCCAGTTACGAACTTTTCTTAAACATCTTTCCCAATTGCTAGAAACAATTTTTGTTAAGTATATAATTTATTTTGTTTGCTTTTTTTGAAAATTCAAATTTGGTAGTTATAATTTGTGGGAAACTTATGGGGCCTTATTTTGGTCCATTTTCTGGGGACAGACCGACTGACCACCCGGTGACATGAAGAAGTGAGGAAATCAGCGGATCTGAGGAAATATTACATGCCTGTGTTAAATAGTAGATCTATTTTGGGAAAGCTATCATTTGCAAAGAAGTAATGTTCGTTTCGTTGAAAAATCATGTTGTTTTTACTTGAATTGTGTTTCCATTTATATCATACACAAGCTGTATTATGATTTAAGGCAATGGTCCCTGTACGACCCTGCCTATTACCCCCTGTACCGCCAAAACCCACAAGAGCACTCAATAGTTTTATGGTTTTATCAGAGAATAAATACAATGTAATACAATGTAGTACAGGTGCTAATGGGCTATGTAATTATATGCGAGGCAGTGTCCCATCATATTGCCTGCCACATTTCATTGTAACTGCCTCTATTTAGCATTTCATGTAACATTTATATGCTCATACATGAAACCATAATCATTCATGAGATGGGCAAAGCTAATCAATAAAGAATCACTTGTGCTTCTATTTTTGAAAGCCCAGCGGGTCACACGAGCGTTAACACTCAGCGGCAGTGTGTCCCTTAGGGAGGACATCGCGTGCCAGCATCCCCTCCATACACACATCAAGTGATGTACATGTACAGGATACAGTCACCACACTGCATCCTTTGTACCGTGACAAGAGCTCTGCAAACATGATGCATTCCTTGACAATTTGGAAATACAAAATCATTTGTCAATATTGACGGTGTGCTTGCAATGAGGCCACTCGGGAAGAAAATTGTGTTTCTAATTGTTTGGGAGAGGCTTTTGCACTGAACTGCATCTTGTGGACAATAATGCATATATCCAATGCAACAAAGCTGGACATTTGTCTGATCCAAGCAAGACAGTAAGAAGTCATTACCGATATTCTACCTCCCTATTGTGTGCATGTAGCTAGTCTTAGATGCCGATACTGGTGGATGTGTGCATGCACTTTATAAGTACCCTGTGATATTGTTGTTATACTGATGATTGCTTTTGACAAGCCATTGTTGTTACTCACTTTGAGTAGATCTATCTCCTTGATACAGTCTTGTCTGGCCTTGGCATCCATCATCTCAAAGATCTGTGTGGAAAATAGAGACTTATCAAAAACTGATGCATACACCTGGATCACAAGGATGGGGGGGGGGGGAGTTCAGATGATGGTTGTCTGACCTCAATGAATAGAAAAAGCGATGAAGGCAGATTATTCTGCCACAGTATGGGCTTCGTGCACGAAAAATAGATGGCACTTTTTGACCACTTCCATGAGCCCAGTGAACGGGACACACTGCCTGCACATACTGGTTCTCGCATGTATGTCGCAAATGACCAATGATTCTGAATGTGCACAAAACCATAGCATCATCGTACATGTATGACCATCAGGCCTTTGTGGTCTCCCCAACTTTTCCATTGAGGGGAGTACTTGTGCACGGTGTCCATATTGTTTGCCCCAAATATGGAGCTCTGCAGGCGGCCACAAAGCATCAGCTGGTGTTAGTGCACAGAGTCTGTACCCAATAGGTACAGAAAAACACTTTGGAGCACTGCATGAATATCTTTTCAATGCTAGCCAACTAGTAATAAAACTTGCATATACATGAAATGCGAGTCCATTTTTTTCCCCAACCGTTTACTTTAATAACTAGTCCAAAATCACATTTTGTCCATCCACAAGAAGGATGGGTCACGAGAGAATATAAAACCCTGCCTGGATCCACCTTCATCTTCAGTCTTACCTGGACTTTCTTGAGGGCGACGATGCTGTTATCCACCAGACATTTAGCCTTGTAGACCTCACTGAACTGACCCTTGCCTATCTTCTTCTCAACGCTGAAGTTAGCCAGCGTGTTATACTTGTCATTACTAACCCCCAGCTCCATGCCTTGATCCATGGGCAGGTCCATTGCTGATGATGTGCCTTGACATCAACAGTCACACCTTCAAAACAGAGGGGCCTTGATTTAAGTTGAGCTGCATGAGGAGAAAGAAAAATCAGATAAACACAACAAATTAATGTTACGCAACAAGAGCTTTCACTGTTCACTCCCTGGCATCACTCTAGGTACAGTGTTTGTACATGTGTCATAGTGTGATCAAGTCTAGAATCATGGGCACCGTGCACAAACAAGAGAGGGCGCTTTTTACCACTTTCGAGAGCCCCATGGATGGAACACATGGATTGATGGATTGCGCACGTATAGCGCGAAATACACATGGATAATTTTATTCTGAATGTGCACAAAACCATAGTGTCTTTGTGCGAGCATCAAGCTGTGTCGGCAATGAGTTCGAATGTCTCTCCAGTGGTTTCCCCCAACTCTTTTTTATAGTTGAGGGGGTACTTCTGCACGGAGCCCATAAAGCTATATCATAATGTCAGCATCATTAAATGAGTCACAGCGCAGCCCCAACATACTTGCACATGACCTAACCGTGGTATCATGTGCAGTCCAAGGTCCTTGCCAATTATGTTAATGTGTGGGATATGCATACTTTGATACTTCGTACTCACATGAATTGGCACCTTGAGGCACCTTGTGAGAGTTGTTTGTGTGGGATATGCTGCATGCGTGTACTGTTAACTAAACAAAGTTTTGCTCTAAACATGCACAAATCTGCATCATATTTGCATGAGCTCCAGGCACCCAACAGCAATGCAAATTTGTGTGGTGCACGTGTGGTGTGTCCCTCCCACTGGAGGTCTTGTATGTCATGTATGTGGTCACAAAGCGCACTTACTGTTCATCATGCACATAGTCTATAGTCCATACATGACTGGCACAAAATGAAAGGAGTGCAGTCTTAAGACCAGTTCATACATGTACATGTTCTCTGTGCAAAATGAAAATTTGAATGTGCAATTCGTAAGTGTGTAAGTACATGTACAATGTACATTTGTACATGTACTTGTGCCATAATTTCATAAGTTAAACATAAATTCAACCCCACATGGCAAATGTGGCCACAAACGCTTTGTGACATCAAACTCACTTCACATTTGCATAAATTTGCATAAAATATGAACTGGCATTTTTTACATGTATACACATGTATACGTGTACATATATCAAACAGGATTAAAGGGAATATACAACATTTGCAAACATCGAAAAATAAAACTACCAAGTTTTTGCGAAATACCTTAATAGGATGTTGGTAAATGACATTCTAAAGCATCCTGTAAAATTATGGCACCTGGTATACTGTCATTTTCAAGAAAAGTGGTATTTTTGTATCAATTTCCAACGCTGATCGGCCGATCAGCGTTGGAAACAACTGGCTTTTATTCAAATACTGGCCCCAATTGACCATTGCACTTGTTTGCAATCGATTACAAACCTATGAACGGGTACGAGCCAGCTAGACTGGTTCCCTGACCTTACAATTCCCCAATGTATGTAAACTGCTGTGTTTCTTCTTATATGGAGTCAGGGAACCAGACTATAGGAAAATGATCGTTTTTCTTGATTTTTATAGCATTTTCGAACCCAAAACCTCCAAAAAGTCATTGTAACTATATTTGCTTTATATTTCCAACCCCCCAATTCCATCCATTTCTGAAAATTACAGCAAAAGCAAATGATGTATATTCCCTTTAAGACTAAGAAAAAAGAAACCTGTGCTTATACATGTACACCCATACATTATATCATACACAGTAAATAGTGTTCCTTACAATTTCACATAAATCCCAATTTTAAAACCCTTACACATCATTTTTTAAAGCTGGACTCAGGAAGTTTCCCAGAAATACATCATTTGCTTAACTGTCTACTTTCAGAGCAGCTGTTGCTATGGCAACATGCATGCAAGGACCGGTGCAGTCTGGTTGGCATGACAACACTCATTACTTAAGCAGCTACTAAAGCCAGATACTTTGAATGTTTCCAGCAGGAAAGCAATTCATTTAGGATCACTGTACACTTTGACATCACAGCACACACACTGGACCAGGACTGAGGAATCACTAGATCCCAGGGCTAGTACACGTACCTCAAGCCATGTACACACACTGTACCAGTACATGTATTAGATTCAAAAGCATTTTCTAGGTCTAGGAATGTAAGCAAATGTATGTAAAAATATTCATACTTAACTGTAAATCTCAAACAACTTTGAAATAATTCTGTTGTATTATTTCTTACTGATTATGATGATTCAAGTGAATTTGCACAGCTCATTAGTTTTGAGTTAAAGGGAATAGGCCTATACAATTTGCAAACACTAAAAAACAAAACTATGGTCCTGCCAAATTATTATGAAATACCTTTCTGGACTGTTAGCGAATCATTCTATTAAAAGCATCTTGTAAAATCATAGCACCTGGTGAGCTGACATTTTCAAGAAAAGTGTTATTTTTGTATCAATTTCCAATGCTGGTCAGCCGACCAGCATTGTAAAAAAGTGGCTTATTTTCAAATACTGCCCCCAGTTTACCATATTTAGTTAGTCCGCATTCTGTATTTTGTTTGCAATCGATTACACTCCTAGGAATGGGTACAAGTCAGCTTGACTGGTTCCCTAACCTTACAGTTCCCAGATGTCTATAAATTGCTTCATTTCATCTTAAGTGGGGTCAGGGAACCAGACTACAAGAACACACATTCTTGTTCCGTAGTTGTGGGACATGCACTCGGCTGCATGAGGTATTTGTGGGGACCAAAAATGCTGTGGGGACAGCAGAAAGTCCCCATAACTCGGTCCTAATTTGCTTAACGATAAAAAACTTCCCCATAACGCGGTGCAGGCCTACCCATGATGGTTTCTTGGTTTTTTTTGTCCAGTATCTACGAACACAAAACTTCAAACAAGTCAGTGTAACAACATTTGCTATAAAATACTAACTCCCAAATCCATCCATTTCTGAAAATTACAGCAAAACCATGTTGTACATATCCTTTTAATTAATAAATATAATTCAAAAATGTAGGGCTATAAAGTTAATATTACACACACAAAAACCTAAAAAATGCATTTTGAAAATAAATTAAACACACAATAATTTTGATTGCCTATTGAGATTGTGCTGTACAGACATAAGGGTCACTGGTTCAAAAGACATACATATACATGGGTAATTGTGAACTACACAGAAATAAGGGTCACTGTTTCATTTCCACAATCAATACACATGATTGATCTGTTTATTCTGCTGTCCTTAAATCAATGTGAAACACAAGAGTCACTCAATGATATATCATGGATACTTTGTACAGTATGCATGGTGTCCATGGCTACCGTCAAATGGGCTGAGATGGGTTTGTGAAAAACTAAGGTCAATTAATTTAAATGATAATTTCTACCTAACAAATCCTCGGTCAAATTTCTTTGCAATCTTCACCAAAAAAAAAAGGTGTTTTGCCAATTTAAGAAACAACAATACTATAAATCTGAAGCAGGTCATTAAAAACTAACTTGTCAAACTTTCAGCTCAGTAGATAGGCCTATCATGTTATTTTCGAAACTGTGAAAACGCATTTTCATTTTTGTCGAAAGCATGGGTTTCTGTTGAAAGTGCAATGGTTTGGTCCAAGCCATCGCAAGGACATGGTGGCAATTCCTCTTTTCTTGAAAATGACAGCATACTAGGTGCAATGATTTCACAGGGTGCTTAACCCTATTGTTGACTTTAATTACTCAAATAAGATATTTCATGATATTTTAACAGTTTCATTTTTGAATGTTTGCAAATGGTGTACACTACATGAAGTAAATTCCACATTGTACTCACTACAGTGCCAATGTGAATATACAACAATTGATTTTGCGGTAATTTTCAGAAATGGATGGATTTGGGGGTTACCGGTAGTATTTTATAGCAAATATTGTTAAACTGGCCTGTTTAAAGTTTTGTGTTCATAGATGCTGGAAAAACCAAGAAAAAAAAGAAGCTGTTCTTTAAGTTTGGTTCCCTGACCCTATTTCAGATGAAATGGAGCAATGTATAGACGTCTGGGAATTGTCAGGTCAGGTGACCAGACTAGCTGGCTTGCACCCATTCACAGATGTGTAACAGATTGCAAACAACATGTGGACTAACTAAATTTGGTAAACTAAAACTGGGAACAGGTTTTGAATCAAAGTCAGTTTTTTCCAACAATGGTGGGCCAACCATCATTGGAAATTGATACAAAAATTCCACTTTTCATGAAAATGACAGCACACTAGGTGCCATGATTTCACAGGATGTTTGAGACTATTATTTACAGTCAAGTAAAGTAGTCATAATAATTTGGTAGTTTTGTTTTTGATGTTTTGCAAATGTTTTACATTAGTATTACCTTTGACCTCAATAAACCATATCCGATCAATCTGACCACAAATATGTGGCATGATTCCCAAGAAGAAGTAAGGTCTGGGTCGGGTAGCCCATGACTTTGAGGCACAGAGCTGTATACATTACCAAATACAAGATCTACAGTGTGCATGGACTCAATGCATTTTATAAAATTTGCCAGCAGATATCAAACCAATGTGCAGGCAGTGTTTAACACTGCATGGGAAATCAAGCTTCTAGTGACACTGCTCAACTAATCTTGCATGCTTGGTCAAATTGTCATCAATAATAGAGTACTGCTGCATATCTGATGCATCTTGGCTCATTAGTTGATCTGCAAGTACACATACATGTACATACATGCATCAGGATACAGCACTGTGCACTCTAACATACAATTCAATTACTGATTGATTCCCTAAAAATAGTAAAAAGCCCAGGAAAATATAGAAAAGTTCAGAATCATGGAAAAACTAACTGCACTCCTCCTTCCCACGAAAGTACACTTATGAATCTGTATATCAAACTATATGTATGTACATGTACATACATCTAAGGATTTAATACCTCACCCACACACTCTGTATTTTAATTGGCCGACAGCAAGTCACATGACATTTACTATTTTTACAATATATCTTACCATGAAGATTTGTATGCATGGGTATATGCCTATTGTACCCACTCACTATAGACTTGGGTTCTAACATTTCATGAATGGGCAGTTTCCATATTGAACTAGAAGCACATAACTTGTACATGGATTTAGGTTTAATTAGTCATCTCTCTCGAAATCAAGCAGATACTTATCTATGAGTGAGGCATTATAAAACAAACTGTGACTGCTAGTAAAAGTAACCTTCGTTTCCCTCAGCTTCGTCTTGGGAAAACAGAACACTCCATGGATCACCTCTGGAGGCGGCTAGTTTTGCACCACCACTCAAAGCAGTCAATATTTGTTTTACCTGTATTACGTACATGTACATAAGCAATAAGCTTTTGTTACTCATACCATGGCTGAGTGGATACCTCCTCTTACCCCTTGATTCACCCTATCTTGCTGCAAGACACATTTGTATCTTGCAGCCATTGTGCTGAAATATATCTTTTTCAACTGCGGTTCCAAAAATCAGGGTTTTAGATCTTTTCTTTCACAGAAAGATCATTTAGAATGAGTACATATGTTCAAAGAAAAGTAACAAAGCACTGACACCTACCCCAGAGTGGGCTGATAATGCAGTACAGTCTAGGATTACAGATAGTTCATAGCCTCAATGTAATTTGAGATTTGGTTCATCCCAAGGCTATTGTGGCTATCATGATGGCACTCCCCTGTCCCACAGAATTCCCCTCACAGAAAAAAGAATAACAATGACAATCAAAAACACTGATAGAAACCAAGACACATAGAAGATTATTGATAAGGAAATATAATGCAAGTCTACAGGACTAAAAAAAACCTGGACTTGTACATTGTACATTGTACATGAGTTCACCACCCACTGTGGATAGGATTACTCTGTCTATCTTGAGGGTTTGTAAGTACAGGATGTGGGTACAAGAATGCAACTTTATTTACTTGATATGCTTACTATGCTTACAACATGTATTTTTTTTCATCTGTAATGTTGGTACCATGGTTCAAATAAAGATTAGAAATTATATTGAACAATAAATGTTCTTGGGGAAAATTGAAAAGCAAGCATGAAAGGGGTTGGGATGTAAACCTTTTTGAGAAAATGTATACACATTTCTAAAAAAAATCCGCCATCGTACAATGAAGCTGCATCTACATGTATGTAAGTGTACACTCACACATGTAGGGCCTATGTGAAAAAAAAATTACATGTAAGTTGGTGGACTTACACTAATTACAGTAGGGCATCGGCCATTTACTAACACTTGTCACACTCGGAGCCAGGGGTGTCACCAGACCAATTTGAATGATGGGGTGTGACAACAAATTTGCTGACAGACCAGAGTTTTTTGGTCATCTGGCCCCACAAAAAGTAAAAAGTGGAGAGGGGTACCATCTTTCTATTGGGTGTGCTGTTCTGAGCAGACGATCTTGGACACTTGTTTCCTGCTCTTGTCTTATTAACTTACTCTGAAAATTCCACTTTTAACATTATTTAGTTTACAGCCGCAACAGCACTCTAACAAATAGTTGTAATACCAAATAAATGTATGTCTTGACATTTTTGGGGTATTTCCTGCAAGTAAAAATGAAGAGATGATTTGAAACATTTAGGCCCCTACTTTTAAAGGCAGTTACTTTATGGCAAGAAAGGTTTTAGAAATTAAACAATATTCTTTACAGACAACGATACCAAAACCAGTCCAGCTCTGCCACTTCCTCTACGTTCGTCTCTTCTACACTGTCAATAGCGGTGCACCTCTGTGTTTTTATGGAACCACCGGTTGCACTGTTCACAATCAATCCAGTTTTTAGCAGGCAATACAGATGGTCACATCCACCATGCCGACATCACAAATGGCTCAGGGGACCGAACCCACCCGAAAATCGCAAATTTATGCAAATTTAACCGAAACCGACCTGACCCAACTGAAATGATGGAAAAACTGACCTGACCCGACCCGACCCGACCCTTGGTTTCGGGTCGGGTCGGTTTCAGTTCCCGGTTGGGTTTGAACAAACTTAATCGGGAACACCTACTGTGAGGTTGAAGTGAAATCTCACACCAGAAAAGATCATCATTTATGGCATGTAAATGCCTGCTGCAAGTGGACATTTGCTTTCGTTGGTGTTGGAGACTTGTCTTGGATCACCAAAGCTTGACAAACCATCTTCAACCTCATAACCCTGGAAAAACTTTTCCAGATCATCAAACCATACATGAATCTTTTTATATATCGTCCAAGGTTTTCTGAAACTCTCAGCCGTACTTTCAGATGCTGCCTCAAGAATTCTTTCAGCCAGTCTCTTCCTGGCAGGGTATTATGGAAGGGATTTTGTTGGCCATCCTCATCTTACTCTTCACTATCATCAAGAGCTCTAGCTCCCATGTCCCATTTTGGACATGCCAGTGGCGCACTGCACCAAGTCGTTCTCATCTTTTTCGCTCAGAACCAGGCTCGGGCATTGGTGACTGACGACTGGTGTTCTGCTGTGGATCTTACCTAGCAAGGTCATCTTTTTGATTTTGTAGTCATGACATGCTGCACGTGACCTTGGTAGCATGATTGGATAAACGTTCAGCTACAATGCAGAAGGTTCTGGGATCTCCTATACCCTATCATTTATACCTAGCAATTTCGGATTTTATTTCCCTTTAAAAAAACCTTCCAGTGCCACAAAACAGAGAGACAAAATATTCTGCAATGAAAATGTTAGATTTCGATTTAAAAACACTAGTGGAAGAAAACTTGTACCTTAAAAGGGTTCCCATCAGGACCAACCTGCTAAATCCAACAGAGTTCAATGCCTTTAACCATGGAGCCACACATACTTTTGATTGAATAATTGGAAAGATTCCCATATCTGGCCATCACTTTTTTCCCTTCAGTGAGCTACATGTACATATATCACCATCAGAAAGTGATATGTCCTAAAAAAGTCGGAAAAAACGTTGCAACCTGACGCCACTTCAGCGGTTGTGTACAAAGTCTATGGAGAGTCAAGAATTTTTTTTAAGCATTCCTAACAAAATTGAAAATGTTTCTCAGTCCCAGATTCATGTCTTATCATCATTTTTGCAATGACTGACCTTCACTGAGATGATATATGAAGAAAAAAAGTGGCGGCAGGTTGCACATTTTTTTCAAAAAAGTCAAATTTAGCAGGGAAAATATTGAAGTGTTCCATTGATGATGTGTACACAGCCCACAGCAAAGCTTGTAAAAATGCCCTGCAGGCAAGATGGCGCACATTTACATGTATGATATATTACTATTAGTAAGGGGGCCTAATACCGTGAAACAAATAGGGGGCCTAAAAATAAAACAAGGTGTTTCACGGTGGGTCTTTTATGTTATTGTTAAATCTGGATAGGGGGTAAATAAACTCTGAAATTTCATTTTCTGTCAGGCGAAAAATCAAAGTGCGCCACGTTGGGGGCCGCGCCACGTTAGGGTACATCAACAATAGTTGGATCCTGTTGGAATCAGCAGGTTAAATACAAGTAGCACTACAATACACTAGCACAGTGTGTTGCAGACTAAATAGGCCTAGGTACCTAGGCAAGCTAGGCCTTAATTGTACCATTGTACACAACACAGGCCCACAGGGACAGCCCGGCAGACGTTGAAAGCCGTAGCGCTTACCTGGCAACGGCGAAGTACTCACTCACAGAGCAAACCCAAACCAGGCTGGCTGAATTGTGCACTGCGTATGTCATAAAAGAGTACCTTTGTGTAAATAAGTTTCACTGACAATCATTCGATGGGCCAAAATGGAGTTAAATTAAGACCAAAACCAGAGTGCACTTCGTCTGCTCCGCAAGTATCCGGTAATGGCTGTCTGGCAATTGTCTCCATCCAATGAATAAAAGCGCATTGCGCTATATACGAGGAAACCAGACTATACTTTTTAATATGCAAGGTGGGTGACGTGTGACATTTGACCACATTTGACCTCATTAGCATAAATCGATGAACACATGTCAGTGTTGACGTTGAAAGTTGCACGGCCACGGAAGTAGAAAAAGATTTCCACAATTTATCGTAATATTAAACACCATTATTTCGAGATTTCTAAATTATGGCGCACTTAAGGTTGTCCATAGCACAGTTAGGAAACATTGTGATCGGCCGATCTTGTATTTTAAAGTGTGAAATCAGCGCCCGAAAATTTGGTGGATGTGCAGCAGCAGCAACCGCACAACGTAGCGTGGACACCACGGCCACGGTCGAGCTCGAACATAGAGACCAAGAAAACCTGACTGGAAGTGAAAGGAGAGGCAATGCCAATGGTGCCGACAACTTTGAGGTCAATTTAAATGGTAAAATAATAAGCAAAGCTCATTTTATGTATGTTTTTCTTTGCATATGAATTCATGAATATCTGTCAAATGCCTTTCTGTAAGTGTAACTGTATTAATCTGGAACTGTTTCAGATCTATCTAGGCAGTGGATTCTTTTTAACTTATTACAGTAGGCCTTAACAACAATTTCACTACGGCTTTCTCTGATTGGCTGAAAAGTGATATATAATTGCTTTTTGAGGGGTTCAAACAGAAGCCGGGCTGGCCGTAAACCCGTGAACGTGGCTTGTAAACTACTAGCCCCACTAGTGTGGCCGTCGGTATGCTGCGCTGAACCCAAGGCCACACACCGTGGTCCGCGCACTACTGAGGACGTTTTCATAAAATTTGCAGGGAATTTCTTACATATGGTTGTATTCTACGATGTCCCAAATATCACTTCTGGGATGCTTGGGTGTAATGATGTTCAATTTTCCGAGATATTCTTGAATCTTTCTGGAGCCCATATGCACTCGTGAAACGTCTGGTGATGGCAGCCATTTTGAATGTGACAAGAGATGACCTCAGGCTGTGACGTCGCGTTTATGCAAACTCTTGTCGAGCGAGGGCGCGAGTTGCAAATGCGACGGCTGTTTCCTGTGTCGCGCGCGTCGTCCAAGCCATCGACATCGATGCCCGCGCAGTGCATGCGCAGGGTATTATTTTCATTTTTAATTGGAACAGGAAACAGCCGTCACATTTGCAACTCGCGCCCTCGCTCGACAAGAATTTGCATAAACGCGACGTCACAGCTTGAGGTCATCTCTCTTGTCACATTCAAAATGGCTGCCATCACCAGATGATTCACGGGTGCATATGTGCTCCAGAAAGATTAAAAAATATCTCGGAAAATTGAACATCATTACACCTAAGCATCCCAGAAGTGATAGATGGGACATCATAGAATACAACCATATGTAAGAAAGTGCCTGTAAAATTTATGAAAACTTCGTCCTCAGTAGTGCGCGGTACCACGGTGTGTGGCCAGAGGTTCAGCGCAGCATACCGCGGCCACACTAGTGGGGCTAGTAAACTACGCCACGCTCTTGTACATGTTCGAACCAAGCGAAATCGTCCTTCCGTGACAAAGACTGGACATTGCCTTACCGTGTGATAAGTATTCACATATCAAGCTCTCTTGAACATGTTGAAATCTGCTTTTACGCCAAATCTGGCATTTGAACGATATTCGAGGTAAAATCTGGCAAGATCTCCACATCCTGCAACCTCCTCCTGATCCATGTGATTTACCATGTGATAAATGCTGCAGATAATTTGGTATCGCACTGACGCTCCGGGCACTTCTGATGTCCGGATCATAAGTGCGATTCCAAATTATTAGCTGCGTTTATCACGTGGTCTCGTTATTGGCCAATCAGACGCCGCCTATCATATGCACCACATGAAGCAGACGGGTAGCTCGGAGGGCTCGGATAATTTTGCACGCAAATGACCCTGGGTACTCGTGCAGGGTCATTTGTCAGGGTCACTTGTCAGGTTAAAATCTAATTTCTACACGTTCGTATGGGTCTTAATTGATGGCAAATTTCGTCAAAATGACACATCCTGAACACGCGGACAGGCAAATTTAGATTTCAAGGTGAGTCCTTAACATGCATACGAAATTATGTATGGCGGATCGATTTCGCCAGGTTTGAAAATACACAACAGTGTGGCGTTGTATACAACGCCACATTCACGGGTCTAGGCTGGCCGATATGTCGTAATTTATGAACAAATCCGTGAAAATAACATTTACTAAAAAAAAGAACATCATTACACCTAAGCATCCCAGAAGTGATAGATGGGACATCATAGAATACAACCATATGTAAGAAAGTGCCTGTAAAATTTATGAAAACTTCGTCCTCAGTAGTGCGCGGTACCACGGTGTGTGGCCAGAGGTTCAGCGCAGCATACCGCGGCCACACTAGTGGGGCTAGTAAACTACGCCACGCTCTTGTACATGTTCGAACCAAGCGAAATCGTCCTTCCGTGACAAAGACTGGACATTGCCTTACCGTGTGATAAGTATTCACATATCAAGCTCTCTTGAACATGTTGAAATCTGCTTTTACGCCAAATCTGGCATTTGAACGATATTCGAGGTAAAATCTGGCAAGATCTCCACATCCTGCAACCTCCTCCTGATCCATGTGATTTACCATGTGATAAATGCTGCAGATAATTTGGTATCGCACTGACGCTCCGGGCACTTCTGATGTCCGGATCATAAGTGCGATTCCAAATTATTAGCTGCGTTTATCACGTGGTCTCGTTATTGGCCAATCAGACGCCGCCTATCATATGCACCACATGAAGCAGACGGGTAGCTCGGAGGGCTCGGATAATTTTGCACGCAAATGACCCTGGGTACTCGTGCAGGGTCATTTGTCAGGGTCACTTGTCAGGTTAAAATCTAATTTCTACACGTTCGTATGGGTCTTAATTGATGGCAAATTTCGTCAAAATGACACATCCTGAACACGCGGACAGGCAAATTTAGATTTCAAGGTGAGTCCTTAACATGCATACGAAATTATGTATGGCGGATCGATTTCGCCAGGTTTGAAAATACACAACAGTGTGGCGTTGTATACAACGCCACATTCACGGGTCTAGGCTGGCCGATATGTCGTAATTTATGAACAAATCCGTGAAAATAACATTTACTAAAAAAAAAAAAAAAACTGGTACCTGCCAATTATCCACTGCATGTAAGTAATAGCTCTATGTGCTTGGTAGCCTACATTACATGTATATGTTGGAAAGTACCCCGGCCATACACTTCTAGAACTAGAACTTAGTTCTAGCTAGGGAAAGAATGTAGTATCCCGACGCCACTTCTTTGTTTGTGTACAAAGTCTATGGACAGTTGAGTGCATTTCCAAAGTATTTTCTAACAAAACTGGAAATGTTTCTTAGTCTGACCATGAGATTCATGTCTTTTCAACATTTTTGAAATGACTGACCCTCATTGAGATAATATATGATGACAAGTTGACAACAGTGGCATCAGGATGTAACTTTTTTTTCGCCTTCTGGTTGTAGAAGTACCCGGCCATAGATTTTTGTACTTTGTTTTAACAACGCCAAGTAAAAAAATTTAACCAGTTTATCGTCCCTGCCCGCTTCCTTTTTTCCTGACCGCCTCCTTTTTTTTTTTAATTCAACATATTTTGCGCATGTATATATTGCCAACGTTTTGTTTTTTTATCTGTTTCCAACAAAATTGTAGCTGTGTAGAAAGGGTAACAGCTCCTTTGGACACAATTTTGAATCAGCAAAGTAGTCGAGAAAAAATTGATGAATCCATCGGCCATCTTTTTAAAAATCCGCTTCCTTCATTTTTTCAAAAAGGCCGGACGAAAAACTACTCATTTTTTGTACTTGGCCTAATTGTAGGACACCTCACATTCTAGTGTACTTGGTGTATCATAGTTGATGACTTTACATTGTTTTAATCAAAATACATCGTAATTTGTGTTTTATAAAAATATGACTCACATATAATAAATCGAACTTACAACCTGCATTAGCTTATTTTAAAGATGTTTTTAAGATAAACCTTCGCATAAATTGCAATGCATCAATGAAAAGTAGTAAATTAAATGATGATATTACATTTCATTTCTTATCAGATGAAGACCAAGTAGCCAGTCAGTATGGTGCTCATCCCAGTGATGACAAACAGTGTTTATATGATGAGCATATCCCAACCACTGTACTACAGAAGGGACTACTTGCAGTTGGCTCAGCTTTCATGTCACTCTATGACCCGTATCGCGATGGTAACTTTCTCTCCCACTTCCCCCCAGTTCTTATCTGGTTGTCGTAATGCGTGATGATGTTTATGTTATCATTATCAAAGTTATTGAATGTTCAGTAGTTAATGATGGGTGGAATAAGTGGTGTTAATTTACAAAGTTGTTATAACAAATAATCGCTCACAAGTATCACAAGTCATCCAGTATCAAGGCCAAGTTATTCAACTAGACTGTGACAAAGACATTCCCTTTGTTCATTGTTCATCCTTGATACTTTATGGCTTGTGATTTTGATTTCAATAATAATTTATTGATGGCACTTTGTTAACCATCATCTAATAATATAATGTATCAACTTTACTTTGTTTTGTTCATCTAAGAAAAATCAAATACTATCTTAACAATTTATGATTATTTTCAAGTGATTTGAGTTTACAGTTGCAAGGCAATATTGAAAATGGTTTGTATTGGATTCACAGATTCATATTGTGCACTTTCACAGATATGATTGCATCACTAGGTGAGGTGACTGGACACTATGCACTGCAGAGGCTTCAAGATAAGATGTTGGCTGACTCAGAGGGAACGCAGATACTTGAGTGAGTTGGCGGTGGGATGAATAGGACAATCGCTAGTTAGTGTAATTACTGATGAACAAAGACTGGGTCTGGTGAAGTCCTTATTGTACTGTGAATATAGCCAAGATTCCATTTAGGAACGATTTTAAAGGTTGCTTAAACCTAAAATATCTACTGTACTGTTCTTCCCTCATTCCCCAAACAAACCTCTTCAAACAAAAGAAACTTTTGCTCATATTGTGTTAAATAATCTCATAGTCTGACTTGGTACCAACATGTGAGAATAATGTTTGTGCAAAAAATTACACCTTAAATTTGATGTTTTCCCATCAGTGCATGCTTCAATTTTTCTCAAATTAAAATAATAAATGAAATTGTTTCTTTTTCCATCTGTCAGCGAGAGACCGAGAATTAACACAAGAACTGTGGACATGGACTGGTTGGCTAGTCTACCCTTAGGAACACTGGGAAGGGAGTATGTAGATTTCATGAAGAGAAATGTAAGTGTTCAGGAATACGAGCAATTCAATATAGGGTTCTGTCACTGACCCACGTGTCCTGCTGGCCTACATCTGGGTACCGGAAAGTTAGAGTCACCCTCGTAGTAGATCAGGCAAAGATCATATAGACTACAGTTTTATAGTTTTAGTGATTAAAGTATTTTATAAATAAGCTTACCAAGTTAATAACTCGCATCTGCGGAGTTGTAATTATGAAACTGCCTGCAATGAAAAGTTGCTCGCAGACTGCTGAGTCTATACTAATTATTACAAAATGTAGTACTGGCTACGTAGACTCATCTGCTGTGAGGGGCAAATGCTACCGAGCCAGTTTCAGAGCCCACGCAGCCGTAAAGCATAAAATAGAAGCTAGAAGAACGTAGCACTGTTCTGGTGTAGATGACTTCCACGCTGTCTCAGAGCACGGTGCGGAGTGAGGTGGTGGGGCCCACGCTTAACCCTTTCATATCCGCGTTCCACTCCAGGAGTTACGGAGAATAGGGCAGTCTTCTGTACACTAATACCTGAGCCACGTCTTTATTAATAACCACCGGGCCGCATGCTTGGGCCATTTGTACACCAAAAGAAAGAATGCACTACACACTGATCAGTAGGTAGAAGCCAAGCCTTGATGGATGGCTAAAAACTGTGAGATAAACGCAGAGCTAACACCCAACGTTGGGTCGGCATGATTATGACAACCGGGCACGGAATTAGGTAAAGACCACAATATGCCATTTGATAAAAAAGTTGCGGTTAATTTACGTGGAAATAAGCCCTACAACGCGGTTGCTAACCAAATGCTTGGCCTACTGCAATGGTGGCCAATCACATGGAAACCGGATGGTCACATGGTACCATACAGCTAGCATGCCATGTGCGCTCGCGTTATCTCTTGCACGTCACGTCACGTACGAACATTTGTTTTTTCAAGACTGCGCGATGCCTGTACCATATGGATACTGGAAGTCTCGTTTTTTCACTAAAAAAATGTATCTTGTGTTGTATAGGGACGACGTACATTTAATATAAGTTCTTGCTCTATCACGACGTCAAAATCTTGTGTTTGAAAGGATTGATTCTGCAAAAAGGGAACGAACAAATTTTAAGCATTGCGTCGCGCGTTAAACACATCGAGTGCAGTCCTAATTTATGAACGTCACTGAACCGTGCATAACTCATTTACGGGCCAAAATCGATCACTATTTTTTCACCACAATTTTTTTGAAGTGGGCCCAAAATGCAGCCTGATTTATCAGAAAACTGCATGTTTTTTGAGAGATTGAAAGAGATAATGTGGCATAAACTTGTTTAAATGACATCGTAAATATGGGAAAATGGTTGCATTCATTTGTTGAAATTGCCAAATGATATTCATGTTGCATTAAGTGACAAGGTGTCGGAAACCTTTTTATTGTTTTTGGCCACAAACACTTATATTTGGAGTTTTTTCCCTGTGAATGTCAATGGAGGCTCTTGGATGCATTTGCAGTTGTGTGGCAATGTACATAAATAACGAGGCACATATTTTTTATGAGCAGGTAGTTGAGTGTGAAGTTGAAAAGTAGCCTCTGGTAGGCATATGCTTGTTACGTGCCAACTATGGCAATGGTGCCAACTATTGTTGGGACAGTCCTGAGTATTGTTGGAACAGTCTCATCAATAGTTGGGGAATTCCTAACTATAGTTGGGACGATCCTAACTGCAATAGTGATCATCCTAATTATTGTTAGGACGGTGCCATAGTTGGGGCGTAACATCCCAATTGCACCTTGTGCATTGTTTTCCTGATTTGTGAGGAAGGGGATATTATTTTGAGTCCTCTGTCTTTTTTGGGGGTGGGGGGGGGGGTGTTGTCAGGAATGGGCTGTCCCGTGTTGAATTTCTATTGCCCCCCTCCAGTGTACCACTGATACCTGTATTGTAATCGAGTCATGAACACTCCCTGTACCTGCAGAGAATCACGTCAGACACCCGCACTCCGGTGCATTTCGTCGACGACCCTGATCTGGCCTACGTCATGCAACGCTATCGGGAAATACATGACTTCAACCACGCCCTACTAGGCATGCCTGCCACCATGCTGGGTGAAGTGACTGTCAAGTGGTTTGAGATGATCAACACGGGCCTGCCCATGACTACCCTGGGTGCTCTCTTTGGACCTCTGCGCGTCAAAAGAAGGTAGAGGATTCTCGACTATTTAGTTTTTGAATCTTCCAACAATTCAAAACCCTTCAAAGCTTGCTCTACTAAGAATTAAAGTAATTCTGTGTGGATCTACTAGACCAGTTAAAAGAAGCCTATCAGTCGTATTTTGTGCAAATGTCTTTGTTTCTGAACTGTATGAAAGTAAAAAAAAATAACTCTTACTTGAAATCGTTTTAGCTGAACCTGAAATATAGATTAATGAATGAGTTTTGGAATAGAGTTTGTTCATGACATTGGTTGTGATCCCTGGCTGCAAGGCACGTTAACAAGTTTATGGCTTCTGACTATTGCCCCATGAACAACGTGGTAGACTATACCAATGTAGGGCTGGATAGCTCAGTTACCCCGCTGCATTTGTTTCGTAGTCTTTTGTAATGGTTCTTTGCTTTTCTGAATGATTGCTACATTTTTCATTTTCTTCTTTTTTGTGTGCAACATTTCAGGAACATTGGCAAGTTGGTGAACGTGTACATCCCTTGGGTGGTCCAGACAGCACCTAAGGCCAAGCTTCTACTCAATGTCTACTTTGAGAAGCGATGGGAACAGCCCATGACGGAACTCTGCAGTGAAATCGGCATCAGGCCATTCAGCAACGACAGATGACATTAATTCATCGTACGACCTCAAAACTCCAAAATTCAACCATTTGCAAACTATCAAATTGGAACATCAAGCTGTGAAGCTGTAGTGGCTGGGCTGTATGTTGGATCATACCCGCTGCCCAACCCAAGGCTGCTGGTCACCTCTGAGTTCTAATTTTTGTTGTTGATTTTATTAACTTATCAGCACTTGTATAATGCTGTATTCACGTCTTGATGAATTCTTAACACCACACAATGCTGAGGCAGTATGGTGCAGTGTAGACCTAATTCTCATGGTGTCACAATGACTGCACCTTACTGATCAAATCAACTCAAGTGGCAGCTTAGAAAGTGAAAAGAAATACACATGTATGCATGTAGTCTACAGGCATGGGTTACATGCACTTCAAAATGGGACATCACAAAATTAGGTCTATATTTTGGGGAAGTGTTGTACTTGTACTCGTACAGTTTTTGGTCCTCGTACTCATACTCATGAAAATGTACTTGAAGTTGCATGAAGAAATTACCTGTACTGGTACTCATGACAAAGTACTTGCGCTTGTACTCTTACAGTTCTCCTGCAAGAATTAAAAAAATGTTTTAAGAGGTACATGCAGGAAAAAAATATCAATTTTCTATTATATGGGAAGCTTCTGCATTTGAGAACAAGTGTACCCATTGAAATTTGATCCTACTCGTGAAAAGTATACTTGTACTCTAGTACATTGTTTGGTACTCGTACTCATGACAAAGTACTCATATTCATACTCATACTCATGGATACTCGTACTCTTCTCATGAAAATGTACTCGATTATAGCACTGTTTTTGGGCAGTTTAGGAAGCAACAGGGAGGTTGCTTTGGGGAGGCATAGGATGTGCTTGATGCCTGATGTGGCTGTGGAATACAACTACCCACTTTGCTGTGTGTTGTGATTCCCAACATTTTTAGTGTAAATCAGCAGTCTTCCAGCACTCTTGGACTGTGTGAGTGAAGACTGAGCAGTCCTGAAAAGTTGAAAATGACTTGCAGAAAAAGTGGAAGCTGTGGTCTGTGTGTGAACAGTAGATGGTGCTCAGTGACCACTCCAGGTCCAGGTGTGGGACAGATGGCATGCACTCTCTGGTTGGCATGTGTATGGTGCAAAATGCAAAGTTGACTCAGAATGTGAATAAATCTGTATTGTCTTTACTTGAGCGCCAGGCATATTGCAGCATTGTGTAAGTCCTGTGTAACTCTCTCCCTGAGACTGCTTAGGGGTGCACTGACCATAAACCATGTGGTAGTTGGATCACAAGGTTTATGCCAATGGATCCATCGGTCAAAACTTAAGCTTAGGACCATCCCAGCTTAAGGCTGGAACCATCCCAACTTAAGGCTGGGACCATACCAGACCAACTTGGTCAATGGTACTCCATGCTTTTAAAAGCATGGCACTAGAAGAATCTGGCTTTTAAAAGCATTAGAAGGCAAGCATTTATGAACCATGACATACGTATACATCGGTCACTCTCTCAAATGCTGCAAAGTGCCAGAGAAACTAGCTTGTATTTAGTTGACTATTTTGCATTTGCGAAATGGATCTGATTAAATGGTAGATAGACACGTTTTTGATGAATTTTTGCATGAAAACTATGCTCACTCCAGGCCTTTAGTTGGGCCATTCTATGGTCTAATTGGGACATAACAGATCTATTTCTGTCAGGCCCAGAACGTCATCAGTAAACACATTACACATATCAAGTATTGGTGTTATCTCTGTCATTCATACTGCACAGTGACCAATTACATCACAACATTTGGTCACGAGTACTGTGAGAAATGTACACAAGCCAAAGATAGGTGGGGCGAAACTAGTCCATTGTGGCAGACGACCAGTTGAATAAAGATAGCAGTATGAGACATGCCAGGTTGATACAAACATTTTTCTGCACAAGTTCAGCCAAAGCTATAACATACAAATGCCACGCATGTTCATTGCTGCTTTTCCTTCCATTCAATGCACAACCTTGAAACAAATATCACTTTAATGTTTTCAGATGGTTTCAGATGTTTTATTGATTTGCAACATTATCAATATATATATTTTAGAACATAAATAAATTATACAAATCACAGTCATACAGAATCATTAGCTTTTGGCATGATACCTTGGATAACATTTTAACTTAATCTTCAGATAAAGAAGTAAATATTTAAACAAACCTTATTAATAAATACCCGAGTTGTGTGTCCTAAAGGAATACATAGCCATGTTGAATACAATCTACAGCTGTTCCACACGTGTTAAAAGCAGTTGCTGTTAGCGGGAATGTACAAATACAACATATATAGTTTGAGGGGGATTATTAAAGAACTCCGCAAGCACACAGGGACCAGTAATTTAGCACTACTTCCCCCACATAAAGCATGTTGTGTGCGTATGATTTGTTTTTATTACACCCCATTTGGCTTGATCAAGTGATTTAAGGTCGACAACATATTGAAATACCTCGTCTGATGCATATGGAATGCTTACGATAGCCACCCACAGTAAGTTTACTGTATTTTGTCTGTGGTGAAGGTTTTAGTATGGCACCACCGAGTACCTGACCTGTGATTGCTGTTGTTGCATAGCTTGCAGTCAAGGGGCTAATTTGGAACATTGACAAATGAAAGCAGTGCATTTGGATTATAAATATAATAGAGTAATAATGTCATATTTCTAACAGTATCTAACTTGGTCAAAAGCCCTCCCATAGTAAGCTGAAAATTCAACATAGCTTTTGACAGCCAACCCATTGGGACCAGCAGGGCCGGATTAAGTCTTCCATAGGCCCTAGGCACCAGTGCTCCGTAGGCCCTACTCTGCACTAGGCACCAGCACCAATTTCATGTTGATGTACCAAGCAAGACAAGCCAAACTGATGGCTTTAAAAGCGGAAAACTGGGTCAGGGGACCAGTTAGTCTGCATCTGGCAGTTATTCTTCCCTCAAACAATGCTGTATCTGTACACTCCCCCCCCCCCCAATGAATTGTGCTGCTTATAGTAAGTGGCTTTTCATGTGTTTACATTTGCTGAATTTCAACATCTTGTAGTCAAGTATGCTCGGACAGGCATATACATGTAATAAACTTTTGCGCTAACACTCCAAACATAATGCGACTTCATGCGTACTTTTGCATGTGATGGCACTGTGCACAAGTGAAGCATTAAAGAGAGTCTGCAATTGGCCAATATCTGACTGCAAGGACCAATCACAACCATGCACTCATTACCAGTTGGCAGACAAACGTAATAATCTCTAATGAGATACAATGGTTTCCTTTCAAAACATGGTCTTTTCAACAATTTAAGTACAGTACTGTGCTCTACTCGTCCTCAGGTAATACTGTCGAAACAAAACAATAGAGTGAGTCTCAACACAAAAGATCTAAACAAAGCAGTGGATTTGGCCTGTCTATGCCTCTCTTTGTCATTGCATCTTTGAATTACCTCTATTTAACAATTGTTGAATGCTGTGATTTGGGATATGACGTTTTTAACACCCAAGGGGCGCAATTAAATCACTGTGATGTAACCTTTGATAACTGAAGGTTTTGATGTCCTGCCAGACATGAGACTGAGCGTGTGACGTTGCAGTTCTCATTGTGCAAAGACAGTATCCAAGCATACGGTATAACAATCTCACTTAGCACATCATATGGGTACAAAAAGCCCAGCTGCACTTGCAATAGGGCTCCGTCACTGACCCACGTGACCCGGCCTACATCAGCATTGCCAATGTAGCAGCAGAGATAATATAGAGCAGGGTGCAGTAGGTAGTAGGCAAGCCTTTATAGCGGTGATAGATGGCAAAACCACACACAGCACAGGTAGTGACCATTTGATAAAGAATTTGTGGTTATTTTACGTCTAGTTTACAATGCACAACTCAGTTGCTAACCAAACGCTTGCCTACAGCAATGGTGGCCGATCATGGGAAAAGCCGGATGGTCAGGTGGTACTTACACGTCTTACGATTGGACCCCATACAAAGACACTTACATAATTCCTATGTGGGTTGCTAACCTGTCAATATCAAAAATGATTCAAATGGCTGAAGCTTGCAATTAAGCCAAACTTGCCAATTAAGCCAAACTTTCAACAATATGTGGTATCTTGAACCCATTCCTCTCTAAGCTACAAGCATGAAAAGCAAAACACATCAAAAAGAGCAGAATTTGTAAGACCCAGCTGACTTTGCAGAAAAGAACCAAACTGCAATGCAGATAGGGAAAAACATCATTACCAACAACCCTGGCGCAAACTAATATAGTGAACTAAAAAACAGTGAATAAAAAAATACATCTCAAATACTGTCTATACTTAATTAAAAAATACACTTTTTTTCAAATAACAGGAATTTAAATAAACAAAAAACACACAAATTTACAAAACAGTACTATTTTCAATGATACGTAAGTGTTCTAAAAATAGGGGGCGGGGCTTTCTCCCCACTGGCCAAATATTTCCTGACATACTGTCAGGCATGCAACTTTTCTACGGATCGGCTAAGCTCTCGTTTCAGCCATTCGAAAAAGAAAATCACTGTGAAAAGTCTTCTGAATTTTGGAATTTCCTCTTTTGTGTGTGTGAATTTACAGTTGCATGCCTGTATTGTATGAATGTGTCTGATAAGTACAACAGTAACTCAAACAAAACAACTGTTTTATGCTCTTTGATTACACTTTGTGCAGAGAAGAATACAGCAAAAACGCCACATGAATACAGTAGAACATTTGTATATTAAAACTGAACTCAAAAGACTCAGTACAATTGTACGTGTAACTCAAGAAATCAATAAAGGAACAAAGTTTAAGTCTACAGGAACAATAAAGTCAAACAAAAAGCCAACTTTGTTGGAGATAAAAAAGCTACTAAGTTATCTGGATGGAAGTACTAGGTACTCTTTAACCCTAGCAGTGCCCTGAGCCGATCAAATCAGCCAAAGCGAAAATGGTAGGAGTGCTAGAGTGGTTGTCAGGTCTTCTAAATTTGCTCTACGGACTCCGTGCGTTAGTACCGGTACCCCCTCAACGGTTACAAAGAAGAGGGTTGAGGAAGACCACTGGGAGAGACATTCCAACACATATTGCCACTGACGCCTGACGCTCACGCAAAGATGCTACGGGTCTGTGTACCGTGTACCAGTACATCAAAAATCAAATGACTTGTGCATACTTGGCACCATACGCACATGAACCAACACACGCACACAGTGTGTCCCTTCCATACACCATTTTCATGTTGCGGCCATCTTGATCAGAGATGAAACTTTTCACATTTTAATCGGAAATCCGACTTTTTAAATTTTCTAACGAAATTTCCGATTTTCTTACAATGTGTCCCACAAAATTTTATTTTGTAACGATTTTTTTACAAAATGTCATTTTATTTCAATCATAATTTCGAAGAAAAGTCGATGAAAAGTCGATGGAAATGGCACATTAAAATCATCGCGAATGTAGTTTTAATCTCTTTCACCAGTCGTTATTCGAGTGTTCAACGGTAGAAACACAGGCCATAACACTGATAGGAGCCTTTTCCGGCTGGACAAAAGGTTAAACATTGACAGGTGACATGAAAAAATCACTGTGTCGCACGCGCGTGCATATCTACAAAGATGATATGCAATGGTACCAGTGTACGTACCGCACCGTACCGTCCGGCTGCTAGCACATGGCCGGTCGGGAACGGGTAGCCTTGTGAATGATCCAGTGGATAAAATCATTATGTTGTGCGATTTTTGGAGGTTTCAGGTTTAGTTGTACAAAATGCAATGCTTTAAAAATCATGATGATTATCTCGAGGATAGTGAAGAGAGCATTAGCGAAACATTTCACTGGCATTTGTTAGAAGAGAAAGATGATAATGCCTGATTTTTCCCCACGGACGAATGCCAGTGGAGTAGTGGAGTTGTGTGGTTGAATTATGGACATGATTGAAGCACCATGAATGGTGCCCTTGTCTTTCAGACTTTTTCCTCGACTTTCTCAAGTAAGAAGTGAACTTCTCTGTTGATGACTCCATTACTCTAACCATAATTTAGGCGATTTATGCAATGAAAACACTGACCATTTTTTTTTTCACCGTAAAATTTTGTTTGAATCGAAAATAAAGCAGGAGTTGGTGTCCCGAAATTGGGCATGAAGTGTATTGTACATGCATGTACATGCATGTACATGTGTGTAACTGCAGCGCGGCCCAGATTTCGGACACATATTTTTGTTCGGCCTTTTTTCCGATTTTTTTGCCATATGCCAGTTTCATCTCTGCTTGATTTGTTCCCATTCAAATTAACGTAACCAAATAAGCGAGGCCGAAAGGAAAAATAGTCTGGTTCCTTTTTGCACAAAAAAATTATCATTCAGTACTGTTAATGTTATTAGTTACAGGGAACATGACTGAAATGGTGACAGCATGATTAAAGGTCTATTGGGGCTCTTGTAAATGGTCTCAAAGCGCCATCAGTGTCCATGTGGACAGAGAGCAGAAATGTAGACTGCACTGGGTGATCGCTTACAACAGCTCCACTATGCAGGCCCTGTACATGCGCTGGTTTGCATGCATATGCTGTGGAGTATGCATGACCAATTTTCACCCGAGTATATCTTTGCATGGATGCTGTGCCCGCGGTATAGCAAGGGTGTTCAAATGCCCATCATATCTCTCTCTTTGATAAGGGGGATAGTTACTTGTTCATAGAGTCACTTGAGAAAAAGGAAACACATTGTATGATCATGTGACCAGCTTTTCCTGTCCCTACTTAATTTAAAACTTGGATGACTTGACCACCACTCACCTTGGTAAGGATGTCAAAATCTGCCAGAAAATGTCGAATGAAGACCTTATCCCGTTTTGATAACACTTCATCTATTTTATGGCACTGCTCGAGTTAAGGATATGTTTTGAAAAATTAGCAAAATATCGGAACACTAGGACCCTGTTTACTACAACTGTGAATTCCTTATCATACCCTAGCATCTAAACAGCAAGGAATCTGTGATAGCTGCCAGGCAGCTGAGCCTCAATGCACAGGAGGCAGATTGCCTGCAGGGCTGATTCTTAAAGAGATGCTCCAAATTTGCTGCGCTCAAAAGCTCCTGCTTTGCAAAAACAGGACGACTGGTCAAATGTCAGCGACCAGACCCAGACTTCATGACTCTGCTTATAATCCTCATCCTAGCAAGTTAACAGGTTAGCAAGGAATTATTAACTTAACCCCTGTTTGAATATATGCCCAGGGACATTTTGTAAGGGTATAAACAAGTTCTGGTGGGTCCTCATCATTCTGACATTTTGGGCAATCGACCAAAATCGGCATTGGCAAGGTGAATAGTCAAGTACATTGCAAGCGTGCATGCACAGACAGTATATTTCTACAGTGACTGATGAACACGAGTACCAGCTCCATTGTGCTATGATACAATCAGTGGTGTTTCTCGGCAACCAGCTTAATAAGCTCAGCTAGTATCCTGACTCCCAACAACAGCCTACAAGGCTAATGCCAATAGTACTCTTGACCACAGGCGAGGCCCTGGCTACCCGAGTGGTTGCCATGGAAGGTTAGTACTGTGCGGTGTATATGAAGCGGAACGTGCCTTCAGGTTCCTCTAGTAGGTTTGCTACATGGACTCCGGGGGTGGTGCTGCCTACACAAATACTGAAACAAATATATAGGCAACGAATATCAGAGACATTATAAAGTGCTTTTTTTTCCTTAGAGTAATACAAACATTTGTGCTTCCAAAAATTTTTATAAAAGATTTTGGTACGTCTTTGCTTTTGGAGCTATGTTGGAAATTTTGTAGAGGGAGATCGACATGAACCCATCTTTTCAAGGAACAAACATTTCACAAAGTTAATTTGTTTTCTGAGAACTAAGCTATCCTACTATGTCATCAGGAAACTGTTTTAAAAGACCTTTCATAATGAGATAATTTAAAAGTTTGCATGTTTGTGGGGTTTTTGGTATTAGAAAATGTATGAGCTTTCCAAATGAGACGACACCCACAAAAAAACAGGCTTCAATAAAATATTATAAGCATCATTTTCATACTGTTTTGGGGAGCATTTTGAAGTTTTGTTGTGTAACAATCTCCTTGTGCACCCAATTAAAAAAATTGTGGAAAACCTACAGTAAGTGCTTCTTTGTTCAAAATGGTTATCCATTCATGATTTGTTAGCAGTGGAAACACGTTATATAGAATTTTTTTGTAGCCAACTTTAAAATTTTGCAAAGCATGTGTCTTTGATATGCGAACAAATTTGGCGATGAATTATGCAAAACAAGACTGCATCTTGACCTCCATATGCTGACCATTCAGCGGGCGCCTTCTATCAGGTCTTCGGTAACCCATTGTTGTATTACAAAAACATGGCAACCAATTGACCAATCAACAGCTTAGGCCGGATTTCTGCTCGAAAAGATGTCACAATTTCTAGAGTCGACTCCAATTGGCCATCGCACGGGGTGGCATACAATTTGCATGCTCATATATCAGATATTCGTAGTGTGGCTCTGCACACGTGAACATGTAATCTTCAGACTAACTCACCTCTTATCTACATTTGCTGCTATAGAAGTGAGAGATCCGAAGCCAGCTATATTCAGTACAGTTATGCATGCTGCATACAAAAACAAGAGAAAGGGTGGCATCAGTAACATCAATTTTTACAAACAGAGACACAATTAATAAATGGTTCAATGTTATCTATGCACTGTTTGATTTTATATAACCGACATACAGATCCTTGTCATTTGATTGGTGGAACTCACATCATGTGACATTCGTTATTGCTCCCATTCATGCCGCGGCTCAAAAAGTACTATCCGCCCATGGGGAATGGGAAATACTATTCAACAGTTAGGATCATGACGCGGTATTTGTGTGCAAATGCATGCTGGTGTGCGCGTTCAGCGTTGCGCGTAGCGCGTATTGTTCCAAAGAGCCAGCGCTACAGCGTTGGGTTCAAACATATTCGTGAATGGGTGGTTTGGAAGAGAGAAATACATTTTCCAGTTTTGTATAGAAAAAAGTTCAAATATATATCAAATGACAAGGATCTATATGTCAGTTATATAAAACAAATATTGAGTGGCTTTAAATTGTGGAATGGGAGGAATATTATCGCTCGGTAAAATCTAGACTTTTTCATTTCACTCGGCTTCGCCTCGTGAAATGGAAAAGTCCAGATTTTACCTTGCGATAATATTCCTCCCATTCCACGCTGAGCCACTCAATATTTGTATACCATCTAATTATGGCAATTAATTCTGAATAAATGCAGTCAAATTAATAGAAGCTTCACACACTCACTGCCTGGATTTATTTGAAACAGCATCCCCGGTTGCCAAACACGACAACCGTAGTTAGCAATGACAACTACCATTAATTTAATATGAACTCTGCGCATGCCATCAGTAGATTGCATATTTTACCACTTTCGTCACACCACACCCGGACATACCACGAACGCCGCTTACCCACAGTGTATTTAATTCTGAGTGTGCACAATCCAGTTGCATCTTTGCGTCAGCGTCAGGCGATAAAAACACATTTGAACATCTGTTTCAGTGGTCTCCCCCAACTCTCTCTTTCTAACCGTTGAGGAGGGTACTTGTGCACGGAGTCTATAGCATCCTTTGTATGATTTTCACATTGTTGATTTGATCGTGTCATGCAAAGCAGCAGGGATGACAAGATATCAAAGTCTCGAGGACAAACATGGTGATGTACCCAGAGAAAACGAGTGAACTGAAATGCCTGGACGTCATGTGACCAACCCTCAACCAATGAAATTACACAGTTTCATGTCACTGTATTGCTCACTCTTGATGAAGGGCAAAAAAATCAATATTGAATTTAAATCAACCCAATGCAAAATTCCATCTTATGATGGAATTTTGCGGTACCCGCTGCTATATCATATTCTAACCAGCCAGCTGACCCCGGCAAGCCCGGTGGTCGAGTGGTAAGACGTCTGCACTAGTAAGCTGGAGTAGTTTGTGAATTTTCTCACAATCACTTGGGACATCATTGAGTGTGTTTATAAAATATGTTGAAGGGCAAAAAGCCCAATATTGAACAGTGTTTGGAATCAACTCTAGGCACAAGGACCCTCTAAACGGTTACAGAGAGAGAGTTACACAGACTTCGGAACGTCGTTGCTACTGCATGCCTAGTGCACACTCACAGATGCCTCAGGTTGGATTCGTGCAAATTTATTACAAAATCAGTAGTGTGAACTTCGCGCCATATGCGAATGAACCAAAGCATTCATGAAGCATGACAATTTGTCTTGCACACGGCTCTCACGAGTGTATGGGCACAAAATGCCACTCAGCTGTGCACAGGTGGATTTTGTCACCCAACACACTAAAGTAATAGCAGCTGGGCTTTACCTTCCTCAATCCTGGAAAATCCTCAAACACCTCTTGATGGATTTTCAAGGATCTTGGACATTTATTATTAACCCTAACCGCCCTGAATCCTTCAAAATCCTCTTTGCCAAAGTGGAGGAATTAGGAGGATTGAGGTTACATATACATGACAAAAGTGCGTTACTGATTTCGTAGGATGCACTTTGTCAAGGTCTTGGGCCGGACCTTGTCTTGTTTTTGCTCAGCCATGCATAAATATAGGCCTGGATTATGCTTGAAATCCTCCGTACTGCTCTAGTATGTCACTGGCCAAGCCTCAACATATTGACAGTCACTGCCGCTTGAATCTGCAGGATTGAGGCTACATGCTATTTTCCCATGAGGCCAATTGAAGGATTTCGCAGGATTGAGGCTACATCCTAGCAAACAGGCCTGGGGAGTCAGGGTTAATGATTGTTAGAAACCCAAACTTACCGCATGTATTTCTGTCCCATATCCTGACTGTAGCATCATTGGAACATGTAGCTACTAGCTGTTTAGAGTACATACTAGGAATGAAGCAACAGCCTCCTACTGTCTGCTGATGTCCCTGGTACTCCGCTACCAGTGAGTGGGCTCGCAAGTCCCATAACTGAAAGGATGGGGAAACAAGGAGGTCAAATCAGGTCAAGTCACTGGTGACCAGTAGCAGAGTAATGCAGGGGCCTACTGGGCCCAGGCCCTCCCACATTGTGGGGCCTCACACAAAATGCTATATATACCCTATTTTGTCATTTCTTTAGGAAAAATCTACAACAATTTGATAACCCCATTAGCTCAGCCAAAATGTGAAGTTAATTATAATTTACATTACCAATTGGTATCACTGACATTATATCAACTAACCATTATTTGGTTAGTCTGGTGCTGATTCTCATTCTAATTATTGGAAGTATGTGGACGATTTGACATTTTGCTGTAAATTCAACTAGCACTTGTCAGGAACATATTCAGAGAGACCTAGATGGCTTAAGTGAATGGTGTGAAAATAACTGTTTAAAGTTAAACCCTTGTAAGTGCCAGGTTCTTCAAGTTCATTTCAACAAATCCAAAAGCTGTCATCATAGTAATTTGACTATGGCAGGTGACTTATTAAGTACTGTCTCAGAAACCAAAATAGTGGGACTCTGGATACAAAACAATTTGAAATGGAATACCCAAAGTCGACAAGATGTTGGCTAAGGCCAATCAAAGACTTTTCATGCTTCGATCGCTGAAAAGATTTGGATTCAGTAGGGAGGAACCCCCAAGTTACATTCAGTGGGTACATTAGACCGGTGTTAGAATACGGCAATGTTATTTGGCACTCTGGGTTAACGACCAAAGTAGTGATATTGAACAAATTCAAAAAGGGTTTGCAAAATTATCTTAGGATGGGAATATGATCATTATGATGATGCTTGTAGACTTGATACATTAGCCATTAGGAGAGAAGATCATTGTCTTAGCTTTGCAAAAAACATTCAGTGCAACCCTCGCACCGAGTCTTTATTCCCTCCTTCCAGATTTGAAAGCCATGGTAGAAATCTACTGAATTTTAAGAGCATTACTACTCTTTGGACAAAAACTCATCGTTTTAAAAATAGCCCCATCCCTTACAACATCAACGTTTTAAATTCTCAGTAAAACTGGCCAATTCAACCTGTATGATAGTATGTTTCAGAGTGGTTTCACTGAGTAATTCATTATCGCCAGATTTTCTGTTGCCAATTTTTATTAAGTTTTGTTTACATTTTAACTTTAATGTTGAAGTAAATATTTCGTATTGTGCCCACTTTTAAATGTATTTACTGCCCTTTACAAATGTTGATATTTTATCTTTGTAACCATGTGCAATTCAGCCGCAAGGCTGCAAGACACTGGATTTTTAATAAACCAGAATAATAATAATAATTATAAGTCTACTTGGTCTTCTACATGTATGTGGTGCAGACCAGGTGCACTTGGATATATTTTTTTCCTATTCCAGAGCCTTGCATGTCAGTGTAAACTTTTTTACCCAAAATTTCACAGGAAGTGGCATTCCGGCAAGCTCAAAATAATTCTTTAGAAATTGTACATGCAATGTGGCTCATTGCACTGACCTGATACAAAGTTATGAGACCAATTCACATTGATATTCATTTTAAAGTGTGTAGTGACCCCTTTGAATGTTCCCCCAAGTAAAAAATATCTACAGTAACTGTTTTACCATAATTTAACGTTAAAGAAATTTGGGAAATTCTTTGATTTGTCCATGTGCACCACATAAGGCAACATTCTGGGATGGTGTTTGGAGTGCTGGAAAGACAATAGACCTAAAGTGCCCACACTCAGCAGGATTTTTTTCACAAGAAGGAAGAAAGCAGTTACAGAGTGCTGCAGACATACTGACCGTGGCTTCACATCCTCGGCCTCCAACACCGTTACTAGACGTCAGGCAATAGTTGCCATCTGAGCTGACATCACAGCATGTCTGAATATACTGCTTCTTGGGAAACACATGGGCCTCTGTAAGCGTCCTAGTGTCCCATAGTCTGCATTGCAACAGTAATACCATACAAATTACGTCACATTGAAATAAAGAACAGTCAAATTGAAACCATCACTTACAGGCACATAGGAACATTGTAAAAACGCGGAAATGAATCTACCAATTTAATAAAGAAAAATCTTTGTCAAAGTGAAGATGGGGTGGTATCAATAACGGTACCCTGGGAAATTATTTCACCTGAAAATGGTATTATTCAGAAGAAAACAATAGAGGTATCCAGTTATGACACCAAAAAAAGTGTGTATATCTCTCACCAAACAAAAAACAGATGATCACGTCTCTCTCAAAAAAAATTTCATGAAGTACTAACCCCATCAAGTAATAGATTCAAATATTTGTAAAAAGTACAGTGTAATCTGGATAAGTCAAACCTCACGGGAACAGGTAAAAAATTGACTTCAGCAGAGTTTTGAGTTAGGCAGGGTTGTATATCATTGTTATACTACTGAATGGATGGATTCTTTGTTTGACTTAACAGTTGTTTTGAGTTATCATACATATATACATACATACATACATACATACATACATAGAGAATTCCACCAGGAAACTTCATTTGTAATTCAGCATAGACTCGAGTCGTAAGTCCATGAATTGTCCAAAGATTAACGGTCAAAACATTCACGCAGAACTGTTGCTCAGATTCATATTTACACTAAGTTTTTGTCACAACTGTGCGCAGGGTTTCAACGTCTCTGCCTCATTTCCCTTTGCACTTTTTCGGTACAGCAAAACTGAATTTGACTTATCGAGATTTCACTGTAACAAGGAACGATCAATGACAAATACTGTCCAGAGCACATACTGGAAAGCAGACATTTGTCTTCTTTTCTTTTCAGTATTAATTAGTTAAACAGTTTGTATTTAATGGACTTCAAAATAAACTTGTGATGGGACATGTGATGGGACTTGTGATGAGACTTGTGACTGACTTTGGATATTTTTATCGACTTGATTACTGCTCTCCGTATCAACCAGCACTACATTTCACTATCTGACTTTGGTATCTCAACATAATATTATTTCCAGTGGCAGAGGCTTGATCTGTCTGTCTAATGATCTAAGAAAGCCAAACACTGTCATGCCATCTTGAACTTTTCAAAATAAACAGTGTCTGTCATTAAGAACACCGCAGCAAATAGCTGGCTCACCATGCTTGGGTTGGTAAGACCAATGCAAATGTTTGCACAATGCCTCATTCATTAGCAAGGAAATCACGCATGAATACCAACAGCATTATAAATAAAGATGCTGACCAAATACGCCAGGTGAAGTGACACAAATGCAGATAACGGGGAGTACATCTAGAGCTACCAGATTGAAGCTAGGTGTAATATAACAGTACTGACTTGATTTATTCTGTTTCAGGAGGTCATTCAGCATCTGAATGACTATTAGATGAGTCACCTGTTATTGCCTCAATGATTTGTTTATAGTCCTGCATGTTGCTTCAAATTAATGTCAATTACCATTGAAAATGCTTATATGCTGCATTCAAGCGAGTCACTAACGTTAACATGAGTATACACCTGCACAAATAGCAAGAGTACATGTATGACCCGTGAGAACGGGAGAATGTACTCTTGACCAGAGCGGGACGAGTTGTGCTTAATATCATGTGACTTCAAGATGGCAGAAGGGTAAACACTGCAAACTTTTCCAAAGTTAAAATCATTTTCTCATTAATTCTTGTTCTGAAATTTACTTTTGCATTATTTTTGCCAATATATTGATAAAGAAGGGAAAGAATCATGAAGAATGAATGACGTCTGCTATTAGAGCAGCCATTTTACGCCTGGCTCATGACAAACAAAACGTTCAAGTGATGCTACCCAAGTGCAATTTGCACACAACATTTTCTTCCTCTTGAGAGTATCGTGAGTGTCCATATGTATACATGTATGCACCATTGTACAGTCTCTGAATTCGTGTATGCACCTCTGACCTTACAGAAGTGAATAGTTTGAAGTCCATTTTGAAGAGTTCTCTGGCCAGACAAATTTGTCTGTATATCTTGCTATCTTGTTCACAGTGGGCAACTGTCCCCCAAAGTGGGCTACAGGCTTTAGCATTTACTCAGTAGGCTGCTGCCTAGCAGTCATACAGTGACTTATAGCAGAGGCTATGAGCATTGGTCTTGTGCCCCAGATGATACCTTAAACCTCAATTTATATAATATATATTTGATACCAAATAGTCCTCTATTTTAAATTGAACTTTGTGCAATATTGAATGCTTTAAATGCCTTGAAAATTAAAAAGGTTTACAGATATCAACTACATTTATCTTTGAAAACAAACACAATCGGACCTGTCGTTCTGTAGATACAGGCCTTCAAATTATGCACTTTTAGTATGACGTCACGTCAGGGGATGACATCATCATGACGTCACTTCAATTTTCATCTATAACACATCCCGGTCTAGGTACATACCGGTACCAACTTTTAACCAAATCGGACCTGTAGTTCTGTAGATATAGTCCTTCAAAATATGCACCTTCAGTGTGATGTCACATGACTCGTTATGACATCATGAAGGCAATCAATTTGATTTTAGTGCCCAAAGTGCCGGGAACAAAGAACGTGTAAATGCTATGGGCAAAATGACTGGGGAAAAAAATCTTAACGAAAGCAAAGACTGATTCGGCAAAGGTGCAGAAACAACCAATGATTCTTTTTATGTTTAAACCCGGAGGGCATATTGCCACTCAACAACTGTGCTTGACAACTTGTCAAGGTCTGTTGGTCGGTTTGAATTTGATATACATAGCAGCGGTTACTGCAACTCATGTCCTGATTCTGATGGAATTCTAGTGGTAATCTGTCTCAATTGGCCATAGGAACTACCTACCTCAAGCACTTATCCTCACTAGTCTGAGCTAGCATGCTCTCCCCCGGTATCCACTTGATGTGGGTTACCAGGTTGCGTGGGATGATGCTTTGGTTGATACACTGGCCGGTACTAATGTCCCACTGCCGCACCGAGTTGTCACGGGAACCAGAGCACAGCTTGCCGTTTCCTGTGATATTGACAATGAGCAAACATGATTGTAATTTGTGGCTATCAACTCTTTTAGATCTTTCAATATTCAGCAAGAGGTTTTGGAGAATTTTGAAGAATTAAGGAAGGCAGAGCCTAGCTACTATCATTTTACATGGCATGTGATGCCAATTCAAAGTCAAACTTAATACTTGTAATGTGGTGCACATAGCCCTTTATATCAAGGGTCTCAAAAGCGCTTCAAGGTTATTACCCCTGTTCATCAGGCATGAGACCAGTTTCTGCAGAAGCTCAAGATCAGCGCATTCTGGTCTCTACCTTCAACAGGTACCGGTACCCATTTATACTCCTTGGTGGAGAGAGGCAATTGTAGTAAAGTGTCTTGCCCAAAAACACAAGCACCATGTTCCCTGTCAGGGTTTGAACCCACATACCACGGCGTGTGAGTCACTGTGACCATTGGACCATGGCACTCCGCAGAACGTGACAACTTGGTGCAAATTGAAAGGATCCCTTTTTGTGGAATGCACCGTGTTTCAGTTTCTTTTTTGAATAATTGCTTCACATATTTGTGCTGCCATTGTTGTGGGACCTGATTTCCCACACACTGTGCATTATGGGCTCCGTGCCCAAGTACGCCCTCGACGGCAAAAAAGGGAGAGTTGGGAGATCCGACTAGGAGAGAAATTGGAACGCATTGTCGATGATGCCTGAAACTCACGTAAAGACACTATGGCTTTGTGCACATTCAGAATAAAATAACCCAAAGTGGCACATGGTTCTCTTGAATGACAGACTTTACATTGTTTTCTATCTTAATCACCGATTGTTGCTTTTGTAGCAACAAAACAAAAACAAAAATTGAATGCAATCCCCATAGGAAATAACCACAGGGACAGATGTGCTGTCCTAATAAAAATAAGATCCCTACAGTGCAAGAAAATGCTTCATTGTTACAGTAAATTGCATATCTCAACTTATCCGGTCAATGTCCATCAAACTTGATTAAACGCCAAATTGAATTGTAGGACCATGAGGCAAGCAAGGTGGAACCGGCCAGTAAAAACAATGAGCACTATTTAATCTCACAGCCCCTCAGGGTTTACTGCCAATCAAAGCATAGGGTCACAGTCTCTGCACGCTACTCTGCACGCACGCTTCTATTTTGCGGAATCCTAGGTTTTTTCCATCTTACTTGCTCTCATCAAATCCACAAGAAAAGAATACTGAGCCTTTGAAATATACTACGTGCAAGTATAACTGCCTTTGTAATGAATATATATATATACACTTTGACTTTTAAATTATCGTTCGCCGTCCAATGGGAATGTGGTGAGTCTATGCAGAAAACTTAGGCCCTACACTTATAGTAATGAGCACAATTGGTACGAGTCTAGCACACTGCAATCATAGCGCGTAACCAATTTTCTTATACTCATGAGCGACTATTGAACAACTCACAACAAATTGTCCTATTGGATGAACAAAAACATGTAGCCTGTTTGTTTTTGGTTTTTGGGGTTTTTTTTCTTCTCCCTGTGCGCGCATCACTATGATTTTTCAACCTGCAAATAGATGGAATGAAAAAGCTGGAATTCCAGCTTAGTAAAAAAACTGCCATTCCTGGATAAGGCCAAAAAAAAAAGTCTCCGGTTTCTGGTATGCGCGCGCGTCGCCGTAGCCATGCCCGTCGGCAAAATGAAAAAGTTTTTTTTTTCAATACAAGATGATGTTTCACTACCGCCAAACTCACTGGTTTGACTGGAATTCTGCTGCTGCACAATTTTAACGTGTTTTTAGATGGGGTTATGATCGAGAATAAGGTTTATGTGGCCTCTCTGGACTCCCATATATTTGCACTAAGTTTAGTCGGGCACCATTTGCAGTCATCAGCCGACATTTGAAGCCAAAAAAAAAAAAAAAAAAAGGTAAAAAAAAAAAAAAAGCCGCGTCGCCGCACCACTTTTGGGGCAAGCTCCATACCAGAAACCGGAGACTTTTTTTTTTTGGCCTAATGTGCCCAATTTTCCTGAAAGCAACTGCAGTCCAGCGCTATCAACTAGAGTTATCCCTCTACATAGTTTGACCAATATCCTTTTGTTTTTCAACCAACCGAAAGCAATGCCTGTGACGACCAGCTCATGGCCCGTGAACGTCTGCTTGCAATTTTGCTGTTCCACCGTCCCGCCGTCCGTCGTGCCTCGCTTCCACATGCGTATCGTCTTGTCCCTAGACGCGCTGAATGTGGCTTCCAGCTCCGGGGCATGGGTCACCTGGGAGACGAAAAAAGCATTCCATTATTACAAAACAGCTGAAGGGGAGGGGGGGGGGGGTGGAGCAATTTTTTTCCTTGGGTAAACTCAAATTGATTTTTCAGGGCAGAATTACATTTCCTGCTGTAATTCTAGACGGGATTTGCGTGGAGTTGTTTGTTGTGGGGCTAAATTTCTTGCGCCTTTTAGCCGGAGGCAAATGGACTTGAATTGAATTGGACTGGAGATCATCTTATTTGCTGGTACGCTTGGAAACCCTATCGGCCATAATGATAATGTTTGCTGTGACATTTCTTCAGCGTAGTCTAGCACAATATGATGGTTTCTACAAATTTAAGGCTGAAATCTCCTGTGTTTGGTTTTTGTATGACCCATAAAGTCAATTAAATACTGTAATGTTAAATTTCATTTCTATAAACTGTCTGTCATCAAAAGCAAAATGTCCAATATAATCAAGAATTTGAAGTTTACAAAAGACTTATATCCTACACAAAAGAAAGTGTAGGCACAGCCGGCTTATCAATCACCTACAGTCAAAGCATAGCTGTATCAAATTACATCAACAGTCACAGCCAGCCAATCCTGCTTTATGTAGGCAGGCAGCACTCAACCGTTAAAACAGTCACTTGACTGATTTTGACTGAAAGGACAACTTTGTATAGAATGTATGTTTGCGTAGGAGGGTTAATAAGAAAAAAATTAATGTTCAAATGCAAATTCTTATTTGAGATGTGAATTGATAATCTAAATAACTTAAGCCTTCAATGATTCATGTGTTGACCACATTGGTTGAGACATATCAATAATGCATGGAAGTACTCACATTATTATCATTACTTCTACATTTTACCAGGCGAAATTGCAAAGATATTTCATGGGTAAAGTCATTCACACATAACCAGCTATCCATGGAACCTATCCAAATTCCACATTTGCAACTCCTCAGAACAACTGTTTCAAATTAAGTTAAAGGCTTTCATAATTTCAGCACGTTCTGGGCATTGTAGATATACCTTCAATATTTATTCACTGCCGTTTTTGCATGGAATTTTTTAATCAAGAATCTAATGTTGTCTATGACATGACAACTCTTGCAACTCTGAACATCTCAATTAAATATAACCAGCAAACCTAGAATATTAATTCAGCGTTTTTACTTTGTATCATGCTCCTTCTCACTGAGCTACTTTCGAGATCTCATTAATTCACCCACTGCTTATCCTCATGCTATTTTTCTCAACAGACATTCACCCCCTCCTTTCCCCCCAACGGCAAAATCTACAAGTGCCAGTCCTGCGCTCTTATCTGTCGATCCTTTTCCCCTCCACAGAAACACAATCTTGGAGAAAGTGCAGGACCTAATCCTATCCCCCTAGCAGGTATATCAGATAAACTGGGGGATGGAACTAGCCACATGGATTAAACATTAGTTTCAAGGGGCATATTACACAGTTCATCTGGAGCACTTGAGACGTAAATAGGCTGGATTTAATGTGGGTGTTGGCAATAAAAAATTCTCATCTAAGTGCTATTTTAGTTTTCCATGTTTTTACTGATGTTCAATGGTCGCCAGTGTTTATATCTTGGGTTGCCTTTCGCTGTGAAATTATCAAAATTCATATGAACTTTTTTCAGTTATTACAAATAAAGAAATACATGAAAAGGTCTGAATGTTGTTCCCATTTTCTGCATGATTTTAACAATTTCTATAACTTTCACTGGTTTTAAAATTGATTTAAGAGTTAGTATTTTCAACTTTGGGTTTTTTTTCCAAAAGGTCGGAGGTGTTTTTGGTTGATGTGAGTTATAAAATGTGATTTCCATCAACCGTCAAATTAAACAATTTTTTTTTTCAAATACTTGATTTTTCATGTCAAATTTGAAAACAAATTTCAAAAGTTTTGTCACCAGATGTTTTTTCGTGCCAAGGAATTTTTGGTCCCGAGTACACAATTTGATGTTTCTACACTATAACACCGTCACAGCAAAAATGGGGAAGGAGAATGTCAATCAAAAGCTCCATCGGCAATGCAATGGTCCATGGGTTACAACTTAATCTGGAGATGCACTGGGGTACGCACAAACAAAAAAATTCTTCTTTTTTTGCATCATCTTGACATTTGCATTCCGAACACCCTTCATTCTTTTTTTAATATGCAAATTAATAACCAATGTCATTATGTGAAGCACAGGAATTTGCCCAAACCTACCAAACAAGGTGTAAAGAGCCATGTTTTTAGAGTCTCTCATTTCGTCACCGGTTTCATGAAGGGATGGGCATGTGGATTTTGAAGAAAAAAACGTTTTCGAGATGATGGCAAGAGAAGTTATGCCTGTCCCTTCGTAAAAACAAAAATCTCTGTTAACCTACTTTTACCGCCTTTCCGTGTAATACGTTTTGTACGCGTTCAAAGGTCAGGCATGTTCGCGTCTCTTCGTGAAATTGCAAAATGCAATTATCGAGATGCCTGCCCCTGGCGTCATCAGTGTTATTGAGGAATTAATGATGTTTTGCTTACGGAAACATGTAAGAATGCTTAAGTACCATGTTTTAAAGCAAAATAGTGAACAAACTCAGAAATCAAACAAATTGTCAAGTTTGACATGCCCGTCCCTTTGTGAAAACGATGACAATTTATTGAAATTTAAGGATAAGGGCACATACCTAATTTAGGAAACAACTGCTCTGACATATATGAAATTATACATAGAAAGATATGTAATCTTTCACTGCAGGTCAGACCCCTGGATTTTTGCTTATTGTATAAACTGCCAGTTAAAAACAAGTCTTTAATTTCTGTATCGGAACCTTTTAAAAACCCAGTTTATTGATCAGTTTTATCTAGGTATATTAAAAAAAAAATTCAAAGTGCAATTAACAACCGATCACTCTGCAAAACATAACATCACCCCCGGAACATACTTCTCAATCAAAACATGGTTTGTGGATATCGATCAAATGCAGCTCCAGCAATCAATGGACAAATGACAAAGATCGGCAACTCCTGCGGAAAGCTCATCACAAACATGTCCCTCGATGCATTAAGGACGAAAACACCTCACAGCTGCGATCAAGTTTTAAAGATGTCTGGTTGTTGGGGGGGGGGGGGGGGGGGACTGTGACACACAGGCAGGAAGTCAATGTTGTTGGCCCAGTTTCATTTTGACATCGTTCTAGAAAAAAACTCTGAAGTAAAGAGTACCTAAAATCAATGAAAACAACACCATCTTCAGTCAGGCCATTAAAATAAATATCTTAGTTTGTCATCCGAAAGTCTTTCAACATCTGTAATAAGTGGCTCCCCCCCCCCTCCCTTAACTGAAGAGGACAATTGGCTTGCCTTTCAGGTCCAGCAAAATGATAACGATGAACAAATGAATAAATACAATACTGATGTGATATTGTAGTAAGACGAATCTCCTAAAGTAGCATGGATGAGCTTGAACATGACAAGCAGTTTCCCCAGTCCTTGTGTTTTTTTTTTATAACTTATACAGGGCGTCCTGAAAAAAATGGTATACATGTATGTAAACCCCTTCATTTTTGCTAATTTACAACCAAAATTTTCTGTGGATGTTAACACCATCTTCAAGGTAATAGATTTAGCTTGAGAATACCGTTTGTTTCATTGAGATTGCTTTTGTAAATCCAAAGATATGTTTGAATAACGGCAAAGCCAAGAAACCCATTTTGTGCCACTTTCTGTGAAGCAGTTAAAATCAGTAAAGTCCTAGTCTAAAACCAAATCACTTTACTTTTAGTGATTTCAACATTTTTAAGGAGAGCATGCAATATTTATTTATATTTAATTGAACTCTTTCATTGAAGTTTTTAAAGAAGTGAACCTGTCTGTACTATTAAACTGTTTCAACATAAGAACAAAACCCTATATTGTCGTGTGAATGAAATGTTTTTTCTTACACCCATAATCTTATCAAAAGAGCCATACTGGCATTGTCTGATCTTTGAAGCACTCGCTTCCTAAAAAGTGGCACAGAATGTGGTTTTTTGGGGGCTTTGCGGTTATTCAAACATATCTTTGGATTTACAAAAGCAATCTTAATTAAACAAACGGTACTCTCAAGCTAAATCTGTAACCTTGAAGATCGTGTAAACATTTGCAGTAAATTCCGGTTGTAAATTGGCGAAAATGGCGGGGTTTACATGCACCATTATTTTCAGGACACCCTGTATATTCTTCTACAGTTGTGCATACAATTGTTGGTCATGATCCACCACTTTTGTAAAAACATTGAGAGGAAAATTTCTTCATTACCGTACATCCACTTGATGCCAACTAATAAAGTAATGTACTTTAACTGCCATATCTTCTGTGGAGTGCTTTGTGAATGAAACATGTGAACCGTCCCCAGCCTGTAAACTGAGTCAAATGTCAAAATGTTGGCTTTGTAGAGTAACACTGTAAATCTTCTTAAAAAAAAAAAAGTGTGAAAAAAAGCTTCCATTTGGGAATTTCTAGGATTATTACAAGTACATGTATGTTTAAAGATGTTGAACAGAAGTCTTGTACTCGTACATAAAACAATGGATATCAAACACACAAAAACATATTAAGACAAAACAAAAGGTACCGGTACCCTGCAATAAACTGAATTTCTTTTTAGAATGGCCCTTTAGGAGGCTACATGTATATCCAATCATTGCACATGAGGTTTTTAATGACATTATGTCTATCAAGTGACAGTAGGGGTTCAATTGAATTTTTTTCAATGACAATTAACGTCAACATCATATTCTAATGAGGTGCTGTGCAACAAAAACAAATGAGCTTTTAATGAATTCAATCTATACGAGAAAATAGACAACAGTTGCAGATATCATTTTCATTTTGCTATTTGTAATGCATGACAACTTAAATTGAAATTATTATAGTTGTTTTCCAACAGAAAATATGGCAATTGAATATTCAGTTTTTAAAGAAGTCAAGCGCTGTACAAAATTTGAAAAACAATTTTCACAAGTGCTTTTAGCTTAAACC